TACACAACTCAAAGCCTGCACGGCATTTTGTCGCAAGTTCCTGTGCTGCTGGCAGACGTCGCACTTACCTTGGGCTTGGTGTGGACTTTGGAAACACGAGCCTTGCACCAGTCAGGTAGCATGGGCTAGTCGTGGCTAGTCGGTCACGTTTGAGCCATTCTTACCCTTCGCCCCCCACAAACTCATATGATGTTTCACAGTGTTTCCGGTGTCACCTGGCACGGTCATTTGGAATCCTATCATTTTGTGTTGCCTCCGACTCGTCGTGTTGTTTAAACTTATGCACCCTCGCCTCGGCTCACTTCATCTCCAACCACTCCTGATCCAGTACAGCAACTCCACTGCTTGGTAGCTTCGGTTCAACCATCCAGGAATTGGCCTGTTCTATTTCTATGTGCCGGCAGATCGCGAACGGTGGCTTTGGTGTAGGTTGATGACATGGCTGGTGCTGGTGCTTACAGTGCTGAACTTTGTGCTGAAGGCAGGGGGGCCGCAGGACACTGTCCCACTTTTGACACCTGAAGCGTCACAGGAAAAGCTACTAGGAACAAGTGCCACGCTAGTAGTAACAAGTGCCTTACTAGTAGTAACAAGAAGCTACTAGGACCCCTCTTACAGTGGCCCGACCAACTCACAGAGACCGACCAATGAAGGCTTCTTGTTCGTAGCCAGGAGCCCCTAGTAGCTTCTTGATCAGTCCCCTCACGGGCGACTCCATGAGACTGAGGCGATCCTCCTGTACCACTACATTGGTGCACGTCAGCGGTACCGGAGCTGGTTGAAGGTAAAACTTCAGGATGTGGGTCAGCCAGACCCCATCATGCGCGCACTCAAGCGCGAGTGGCGAACCTACTTTGGCGAGCTGGCTCACGTTTTGGCCTCTGGCCCTTTGACACTTGGACCAAACTCCATCGGAGTATATCAGAGTTTATCGGATAGTGCAGACTGAATCATGTTTTGCAACCATGGTGTTTCTATGTGTTTTTGTGATCATGCTTTTCTAACTTTTAAGTGTAAAGGTAGGGGCACCAACTTGTCTCAGACCTCAACAGCTTGCGCTGCTTGCGGCTAGAAGTTTTCTGATTTTGGGTTGATGACGTGCTGTGGCCCTGGGCCCTGTGCTCCACCCGAGGAGTCCATGACGAGTCAAGATGGGAGCTGAAGCAGTGTACCCTAGCTCGATCGAAAATTGGACTGCTGACAGTGCTGCGATGCAACGAAACTGATGGCTTCTCACAAACAGAGTGGTTGCTTAAGTGATTATAAATTGTCATTCGTTGGTTCGCCTGTTGTTGTGGAATGCAATTCATTTCGGAGGCTGGTCCTAGATGCCTTTTGGCTTGGCCATTGGGAGGTTTTTTCTTTGACGCACTCGTTCCGCCAGGATCTCAACACCGAGAGTATTGGGAAGGCGGTGTCTCAAGCTCCAGGATCTCCTCATCCTGACGGAAAGGAGAAAAGATGAGACGGAAAAAAAGGTGTTCCCAGTTCCCAGCCGCATGATCGGCCCTCCAGACCCCGATCGGATACCCATGTTCATCAGACTACCAGGCTAACCTACTTAAAATCAACGCTGAGGACGAGGTTGATGTTCTAAGAAAGAAGATTACTGCTGCTACATTTCTCCTCATCACGATTCTAGTCCATTATATGTTGAGCCTTTTTGAACCAATGGTTTTTTGCTGAGAGTGACACAAGCAGCCAGCAAACTGAACATAAAAGCTATTCCATGTGATGTTGTTTTGCAACATTTGTTCTTTAAAAGCGGGCGAGTCACCCAAAAGAACAACCACGTCACATTGGCATGCATGCTGACCAATTGACTTTTTGGCATAGCATGAGGGAATACGGTGTGCATGAACGACTAAACTAAACTGGCGTTACGGTTGCACTTTGAAATATGTTGTTGAACTGCTACCTGCACATGTCAAGTCAGATTCATAGGTTTGCAAGTATTTGTTTGGACTCCGCAGATTCCCTATGAAGGCTTATAGACTGGAGAGTCAGGAAGACAGCCAAAGAAGTGTGTTGTTGGTTATTTTTAAATGTTGGTATTGTTTAATCTCTCTCTTTTTAATATGTATGTATGATTAAACTAACAAAAAGGTGTTTATTATGTTACTATGATCATTTTATATGCTTTCAACCTGATTTCCAGTATGATGTTTTAAATGAGTTTTTTTTAACGAAGAGCAAATTAGAACTAAAAAGGCATAAAATACATCATAAATTGTATGAACATGTTATGTCAATTTAATGTGTGTGTTGTTTTAATGAACCTTTTACTGTATATTTTATATATATGCTCCGGACAAAGAAACTGTGATGAAAACTTTCTGAAGCATATGTATGTGTCCTTATTTGTTGAGTCCATAAAGAATAGTGAATAGTTAAACAATCATACAATTTTCACATAATTTAATTGGCTGTATATAAAAATAAACGTAAACATGTCGTTATTTTTTAATAAAACAAAAACAATATGCTTGGTTCATAACATGTTCATAAAACTTTCATAACATGTTCATTAAACAAGACAAACAAGACATGTTTAAAACCATATGTGTTCTAGCTTCTGGCCCACTCTCAACTATAGACCTGTCATGTGTGCAGCCCCGAGGTTCTACTCAGACTCGGACTGCTGAGTGCTCAGAGGTGATCAGAGTGCATTTGCACCTCAGACGAGGGGCACTGGATTCGGAGTGAGTTCCCCCATGCCGCAGCAGGCCCCAAGCATTTACATGGCAATTGTCAGAACGGAAGGGGCTGCTTAGCTGCTTGGCGTATTGGATGCATTGGATGTGTCCTCCACGTTCTGCAAAGACCTTCCCTTTTTGTTGCCAAAACCCCAACGACCGCATGCCCCGAACCAAAGGCACTCTTTCGGAAGTGGGAAGGCCCATCTCACCTGGCTACGTGGCAGGCACGCATGTGCAGGTGTTATCGCAGGTGATCTCATCGATGGCCCTGGCAGATGGATACATTTCCTTAGACCTTTTTGTTATTTCTTGTTCTGATTACAGGGGCTTCTTTTCAGGGAGAACATCGTGCTGCTAGGATCCCGTTTGGAAGTGAAGCAGGCTAACTGGGAGCATTGTGAATTGGCAGGTTCCAGATGCCGACCTGAACACAAGTTTGTGATCATTTGTGGAGTTGCACTACAGCTGGCATTTGGCAGACCAATAATAGGACTTTCTGGAACTGGAGCGCCCTCAAGCCGCATACTTCATACTTTGGAATTGTGGACACTTTTTTTAAACGGTAGAACTTGAACACCAATCCCCTCCCAGCCTCCACTACCAACTGTGCTGTGTTTGGCTCGAAAGCTGCAGTGGCCAAAATATTCGATTGCTAAGAGTTGCTAAAGTCAAGCTGCTGAAGGCAAGTCGCAACGCTCATCGTTTGTACAAAACGCATTTTGAAGCTCGCTGTGCAGTGTCCAGAAGATTATTATGCAAGCAACACGAAACATCACATGTGCTTGGCTTCAAAACCCACCCAGGGCATTGTTACTAGGAGCGATCGGACACTACTAGGGGCTCCTGGCCTTACCACTAGGAGCAAGAAGCTACTCGGAGCAAAGCGCATCGCTGCTAGGAACAAGGGGCATTGCTAGTAGTAACAAAAAGCTACTAGAAACAAGTGCCTTACTAGTAGTAACAAGTGCATCGCTACTAAGTCTAGGAACAAGGGCATTACTAGGGGCTCCCAACTTGTGTTTCACAGAGAGCCACTCGCCAGAGCCAACCTTCACGGCGCCCTCAAGGCCTTCCTCAACAAGCACATTCAGCATGTTTGGTTCAATTCAGACTCCAAAGAGCAAAGAGGAAGAACCTGGAACCTGAATGCTTTAGCCAATCTCAGCTGCTCCTTCAGGAGAGCCCTCACATGGATCAAGAAGCGGTTCACCGGAGGACTGTTTCTTTTTCGATCACTTCGGATGGTTTGAGCCTGCAATTGATCGACCGTTGCCTCGGGAGGATCGACCGTTTGCGAGAGAGATACCGACGCTATGCGGAGGTCGGGTGATGTTGGGTGGTCGATGCGAATGGGATTTCAAGTGCTGGTTGGAGGCCATCGCTACTAGGGTGGTGGTGAAAGCGGCATCTAGGCGGCGAAGCAGTTATGGACCCTTTGCTGTTTAGTGGCAGGAATCGTTGCTTAAGCATGCTTAAGCGGTATATGAGGGGAAAGGTTTGGGCTGTTGTTCAGTCCGGTAGATGGTTGCAAGGGTAGGCAGATGGTCGACAGCCGGTAGCCGCCGGTAGCCCTGCTGAATCCTTGTCACGGAAGAATGACTTTGTACGGAATGCATGAAGATAAGTTTGCAAGTGCCATATCAACTTGCCTGACTGGATTTGTTCTTTCTGAAAGAACTGCAACCAGTCAGGTCGCAGCAACCTCGCTCTGACGCGCGTTGTTTTCCGTCTGACTCAAGGGCCCTGTAAGACCCGGGTTTGAGCATCCGGCTGGTGGATTCATGTCGCGAATGACGTGTCATGTGCATAAAGATATACTTCACATTCTGGCACAGCCAGGTGGAGCACGGGACCATCATCAATCCCATCACGGGAGAGGAGGCCAGTTCTTTGATGTTCTTTGTCGTTATTTGTCCATGCTGCTCAGAACTGTTTCAATCTTTTTCCTGTTTGCTTGCTCCATCCATGATTTGTCGTCACATGGCTCCTCCTTGAATGTGGCCCATGGAGAGGCGAGCTTACGCCGTAGGCAAGCTGGACAATACATGAAACGAGGAGAACCAATCTATATACTAGCGATGGCCTCCAACCTAATAGCGATGGCCTCCAACCTACTACCTGGATAACGTCTTGCCAGGACATCACCCTTTCTTTGGTTTTCATATGATTTTATGATTGATCCCGATGCCGGTCCCATGGATTTGAAGTCGTTTGAATTCTTATGTTTCACCAAAGCTTTGCCACGGAACAGTGTTTACTAAGTTGTTCACATTCATCAACAGGCTAATTTTCCGATGGGCCATGGCGTCTGAGCCAGAGCTGTTAGAGTTGCTGATATCAAAATCATTGGAGCATGAAGGCAGGGTGGAGCAGCGCTGTTTCAAGGAAGGCATGTTGGCTTTGAGTGTGGAAAACATCCGGCCAAACATTCTACTGCAAACACATTCATAATATGAAATTTGGTCTGCATTCATGCACACCAAGTTCTTGTTTCAGTTCTGTGCTTCTAGCGATTCTAGCGGTGTTCCATAGTGCATTTTATATTTGATGTGTTTCCATCCACTGAGCGCAAGCAAAAGCATTTATTCAGGGACGAGTTGCCGTCAAAGTTTGATGGTGGAACAGTTTCCTCCACCTATGCAGTTTACGCACAAGTCCCTCTACTTCCGACTTGAAGTTTGCCCTGGACAATCGCCTTGTAAACTACCCCTGACTACTATGCCTAACAGTTGGGGCCTAACTACTTGAAGCATATAGCTTTGAGCACGTTTGAGCCTTGCTGTGTAGCAAGGAAGACACCGTTTCAGCCTTTCCCACAGGTCTGAGCCTTCAGCACCTGGGCCGCTCCACAGCGCTGCGGCGTTTGAATGGTCGTTGGGAGGGCTGCTACGCCAGCAGCGTGGCTCCGGCGGTTTGGAAGCGCTACCAGGGCCTGGGCCTAGAGACTCGGAACAGTTCCGCCAAAGACCGGGCATCCGGGCGTGCGATCGCTCCTAGTAGCGATGCCAGGAGCCTCGTTCGTAGCTTCTTGCTCCTATGGAAGCCTTTGTCATAGCCTTTCTATTGTGAATGTTTTGATAATCGGGCGTCAGGTTTGGTCGTGTTGACCCAGAAAGGCAGGGCCCCAGGGGTACGTGTCAACATCTCAGCAACCTGTGTTGAGGGATCTTGACATTGAGGGTGTGCACTGCAGAGAGCGGTTACTCCTTTGAGCCCTCCACATTCAAGAGATTTTGTAGGTTGGAGGCCCTCGCTATTAGGTTGGAGCCCAAAACACTGGCCCATTGGAGCCAACCAAGCCCTCTCAAGACAGCCAAGAGGCAATACACACTCTCGAACTGCGAGAGAGAGAGAGAGAGAGACCAGCCTAGCTAAGCTGGTGTCCAACTCATTTGCAGAAGGCTTTTCTTGGATGGCTTTGCAGGCCGCACTTATTCCATCTTTGATCGCTTCGTTTCCTGATTGTTGATAACTCGATGTTAGCTTTGCTTCTTTGTGCTTCGAGGACTTGCCCTTCTCCGAGCCCTTCGACTTGGCCTTGGCTTTGCGGGAGCGGCTCATGGCCTCGGACCTGGTGGGCCACGTTGCAGTGGAGACGCCTGTCTTGCGTTAAACCACGCCTCGTTGGACGTGCCGTTGGAATCGACTCATAAGATTTTGTCAACTTCCAGCCTTGTCCTTTTGGAGCATAGGTCGCTATTACTCGTAGGTTCGAGGCCATCGCTATTAGGTTGGAGGCCATCGCGAGCAGGTTGGAGGCCATCGCACTGGATGCACCCAACTCGCATCAATGACCCTGTAGCATCCTGTAGCGTCCTTTGATACTACGTGGTAGGCCAGGAGCCCTTAGTAGCGTCCTTTCTCCTAGCAGTACGGCCAGGAGCCCCTAGTAGCTTCTTGCTCCCAGTAGCGATGCCCTTTGCTCTTGGTAGCGTCCTTTGTTACTGCAAGTCCGCCACTCCTTGCGTTGAAAGATCCCGGCTCAAAAACAGAATGAGAAGAAAACGCTAGTAGATGCTAGTAGTAACAAGGGCATCGCTACTAATAGCAAGAACATCAAGAACGAAGCTACTAGTGTTTGTTGCCTCCGCGTCCTTTTTGATTTGTTTTTGCAGTACATGTGTTTTGGAAAAAGTGTTTGAAGGTGCATCAAACGCCTCACGTTTTCCCATTACTCCGAGGAAAGTTGCTGCGTTGTGTGTTTCGCTACAGCGAAGCGCTCATTTGGTTTTGAGTGTTGGAAAAAGGTTTTGAGGCCATCGCTTCTAGCTTGGAGGCCATTGCTATCAGGCTGGGGGCCATTTCTAGTAGGTTGGAGGCCATCGCTTCAATCGCTTCTAGGTTAGAGGCCATTGCTGTTACAAGCCTTTTGCTATTAATACGAAAGACCTGGCAAGGCGCATCATCCAAGGCCGGGAGGTGGCTTAAGACTCTTCAGCATGAAGCATTTGGATGTGCAGATCCTTGGAATTACATTTATATTCTTATTGTTACTACTAGTAAGGCACTTGTTACTACTAGCGATGCACCTGTGATTCATTCGCAGATGCTGAGATTCCTTAGCGGAACAAAACGGTCAAAAAGGGTTGACCGAAGATCGGCCTGGTCGTACCTGGTCTTCGTTGAGTTTCTCCGAGCGTATTGATCATATCATGTCATATCACCACCGACCATTGCCTGTCATGTGAGGGTTTATCAGTTCTGTGATCTTTCCGTGCTGCCGCGTCCAGCACACAAAGGAGAGCAGGTCACGTACTGTGGTGCACATGACAAAGAAGCCAATGGTGAAGCCCAAAGATAGAGGGTAGAGCCCTGAAAAGATGCTCAACGTGCACACAGTGTCCTGAACAGCGATATTCCAGCGGGGTTCTTGTAGCGCTTGTAGGTATGGGCCGGTGTAGTGAGTGACAGTGTAGTGGACTGTTCGGACTTTGACCTTGCGTCCATCAGGAAGAAACGTGGAAGGATCCTTTGCAAAGGCTGCAGCACCTTCTTCCAGGAGGGCAACCCTTTTCGGACCCATGTGCAGAATGCTCAGGACACCCGCTGCTTCAGTGCCTCAGTTGCCGTGCGAGACAGGATATATAGTTATTCTTTTCTCCACAGCAACATGCCAGCACTTACGTACCTGTTTCCAGACATAACTATGAAATACATCGAAATACCATGTGGGTGCATGGCTAATAGCGCCTCCCTCCCCCTCCCTTTCTTTTCGATACGGACGTTGGTTTGCAACTCTGTTCTGAGGCCCAGAGGCAGCGGAGTACTACTTGCTGCCTTGCCAGGATTCGGCCGCCGCCGCAGCTCTGGAGGTGTCCCGAAGGACTGGGGGGCAGATCCTGTGACCTCCGGTGACTCCGACGTACTCGCCATGGCCTCCAGCGTACTCGCGATGGCCTCCAACCTAATGGTTCAGGTGATACAACGACAGGTGACATCCGATGACTCACAGATGTGATTTTTCCGTCGTAAGTAGATTCCAGTAGCTCGGTGGCCAACAAGAAAGAGTCCGTGTTGCAGTCAACAACCATATGCCATTGATCAAGTGATTTCACTTGTAGGTCTTTCTCATTGACAGCCAAGCAGCGCGATGAGGAGCTTGGATCCAGGGCTAGAGGCGGCAAGGGATGGGAACCTGAAGGAACTGCAGCTTGCCACGGGCATATCACGGAACAGCAGGACAATTTTTGGTATTGTTAGATTTTGTTAGATGAAGGCTGTTGTTCGGCCAGTTTGGACGTTCTTGATGACTCAATCCAAGGCAGCGCCTGGTGGAGAGTCGTTGGGATCCATTGATTGCATCGGATCACCATGGAAATAAAGCACTGCATTGGGCAGCTGGCAACGGACACCTGGAGAGACTTGGCCTTTTTTGAGCAAGACTCAAGACATTGGCGCAAGATCGACGGACCTTCCAAGCGATTGCAAGCCGATCAGTCCAGAACGGTACCCGGCAGTTTGTTTGAAAAGCTCCTTCTCCATGACGTTGGCATTGGCACCTTTTGGCAGAAACAACCTAATAGCGTCCTTGCTCCTAGTAGCGATGCCAGGAGCCCGTTGGTAGCGTCCTTGCTCCTAGTAGCGATGCCAGGAGGCCCGTTCTTAGCGTCCTTGCTCTTAGTAGCGATGCCAGGAGGCCCGTTCTTAGCGTCCTTGCTCCTAGTAGCGATGCCAGGAGCCCGTTGGTAGCGTCCTTGCTCCTAGTAGCGATGCCAGGAGCCCGTTGGTAGCGTCCTTGCTCTTAGTAGCGATGCCAGGAGGCCCGTTCGTAGCGTCCTTGCTCCTAGTAGCGATGCCAGGAGCCCGTTGGTAGCGTCCTTGCTCCTAGTAGCGATGCCAGGCGCCCGTTGGTAGCGTCCTTGCTCTTAGTAGCGATGCCAGGAGGCCCGTTCGTAGCGTCCTTGCTCCTAGTAGTAAGGCCAGGAGCCCCTAGTAGTAGCTTCTTTGTGGCATGCTTGAGGATTTGCCGCTACTTGGTGCAAATGCGAATGGATCCGAAGGCGCCCTCAGAAAAGCATCAGAATCGCTGCGCTCTACATTGGGCAGCACGGAATGGACAGGCCCGCTTGAAAGAACAGTTGAATATAGTCGAATAGTGCTTTGGATCTTCAAGTGCTGTGGTCGAGCAGTTTGCTTCTGCTATCTTCAGCTTATACCGTAGTTATAGTTATGTTTTGTTTGCCCAGTGGCATCCCGTTGGGATTGGGTCAGACCTCCGTGTGTGCCTACTTGCTGGATCTCATGGGTTTTGTGGACGTGGAGACCGATGGCAAAGACACACCGCTGATGCTCGCAGCCTGGCAGGGCCACCTGGAGACCTGCCGTTTTTTGGCCACGCAACGAGCAGAGCCTCGCTGCGTCGAGTCGATCGTGGAATCGATGTGGAATCGACGTGATCGGCCGATGCGCAACAACAACAACAACAAAGTCTATATAGTTCTTAGTTTTTTAATGTTTACAGTAATATTATATATATATTGCTCGCTCATGTCGCTTATATATTATATATACAGAATATACAATATATATATATATATGGTGTGTGTGTGTTTGACCATTTGTGACCTGAGGATCTGAATCATTTAAACTCTTGGGGGTGCAATGCAATGTGACCTTGACAGCACAAGCAGTTGTGAAGCTTGCCATGAGAGATGGCATGGTTTGGTCGTTTCGTTATTTTCTCATCACACGAGAGATGGCATGACATGGTTCAGCATGATTGGCCCATACAGATTGGACATCGTGGACATGGACTGAGGCACAAAGCTGCCAGGATGGACGGCGAACACTCAAGCCTACAAATGCTAGACTTTCTGTTGCCACTTGGACCAACTACGGCAACTTGTGATAGACAGTTTGTCAGCGACCTGCAAGCAAGCAACTGTCAACAACTTAGGATTTTGGTCTTTTGCAAATTAGGTTGGAGGCCGTCGCTTCTAGGTTGAAGGCCATCGCTGTCAGGTTGGAGGCCATCGCTTCTAGGTTGCTTCCAGGTTGGAGGCCATCGCTATTAGTTGGAGGCCATTGCTGAGGGATGTCGAAGGTCCAAATGCTAAATCGGTGACTTTATCGACAAGTCTTTTGTGCTTAAGGTCGAATGATGTGAAGGCCAGCCTTGCCAATTGCAATGGGCACAACGCCCTCCATAAGGCATGGGGCATGCACGCTGAGGTAAGGCAATTTCATTTGTGATTCGTCCACCTGCACCTGGGACGCGTGATTCCAATCTCTACCAGCCCTTTTCGATGAGGCTCAATTGTCTTTCAACTTCGGCACCATATTGCAATGTTATTACTGTCCAATAAATCCTACGTAGTAGCTCCGGGCATCACTAGGAACAAGGACGCTACGAACGGAACACAGGGCATCGCCACGAACGGAGCAAGAAGCACTGTGTTGTCCATTTGTCAAACGAACCATCCAGCGGATCATCCTATACTATGGGCTCCTGGCATCGCTACTATAGGAACAAGGACGCTACGAACGGGGCTCCTGGCCTTACTACTAGGAGCAAGGACGCTGCGAACGGGGCTCCTGGCCTTACTACTAGGAGCAAGGACGCTACGAACGGGGCTCCTGGCCTTACTACTAGGAGCAAGGACGCTACGAACTGGGCTCCTGGCCTTACTACTAGGAGCAAGGACGCTACTCCTGGCATCGCTACTAGGAGCAAGGACGCTACTAGGGGCTCCTGGCCTTACTACTAGGAGCGAGGACGCTACTAGAGGCTCCTGGCATCGCTACTAGGAGCAAGGACGCTATTAGGGGCTCCTGGCATCGATACTAGGAGCAAGGACGCTACTAGGGGCCTGGCATCGCTACTAGGAGCAAGGGCATCGCTACGAACGGGGCTCCTCATCCGATCGGAGGCCGCCAGCTTTGGCTCCGTGGAGGCCTGTCGCTTCCTCTTGCTTCATGGCCTCGACACACGGCAGGCCATGGCGCCGGACCGAGAGCGGAACACTCCAAGCACCGAGACTGCAATCCAAACGAGTCGTTGGAGACAGGCCCAAGTTACCCAAGTTGTGAAGTGGATCCTTTTCTCAAAACATGACTCACTGCAAGCATCTGCAAGCCTTCTGTTTTTTTAAAGAAGGCCCTTTGAAGTGTTGTTTTTATTCTGCACGTCATGTGCAGAAGAATAAGATGCACATTGTAAATTGATCAGCTGTCCCCCCATGGGGGCTCCTTCACCAAATCCTTGTGCTTCGCAACGCAAGAGGAACATGCAGGTGCAAGATCGCCAGCTTATACCAACTTACTTCAAACCAAAACGCACACACAAATACACAAACACACACATACCTACAGACTCCACTGGCATGGAAATTTCGATGCCGTTCAGGAAAAACCAGGTGTTGAAGAAGTGCTGCGACATTTTTGGAGTTGCAGCCTGTTTGCCCGCGTTTGCGGGCATGTTTGCCCATGTCAGCGTGCGGTGTGTTTTTGTGAAGCTTGCTAAAGGCCAGTCGCGGCGTGTTTCTGGGAATGCAGCGTGTTTCTTCAATTGCTACAACAATAGTCTTAAAGACGGCAGAAACAAACGCCAGATTCTCTAGGTACCTGTGCTCAAACAGCTTGGCCTCGTCGTTCACAGCTTTGAGCTGAGGCAGCTTGGCCTTTGCAGCCGGATATCATCGCTTGGCGGGGGAGTTAAGACACACCGAGGACTGGAAGACATGGTGGGCGACCGACCGGCCGACACATTCCAACAGGAAGCGGCAGGATGCGCACTGATGTGTCCAAGAACAACTTCGTGCGACAGAACCCACTAGTTTTTTTCTTTTTTAGTCCGCTCCTACTTAACTATTTAAGTAGAAGTAGAGACCACCTAAGGGATTAAGCTTCCGTTCGCTCCTAGCTACTACGTAGGATGCTGTTCAATCACTTCAAAGGTTGGCTGTTCGCCAAAAGCCCGGGAATTCAAGCAGCTCCCGATGAGGAAATCCTGCGTCGCCTGTATCATGTATCATAGGAAATCCGCGTCAAAAGGAATCTTCGTGTTGCAGGATTAAACTCTTAAACCATCTAAACCATGTTGCAGTGGGACTGGCGATGCGAAACTCTCATGCAACCTCCGGCCCTTGTATCAGGACGTTCTATGGCTAACACCTGCCATCTACAGAGCGCCAGAAACACCAGGAAGAGAGGAAGTTCCAGAAGATTCCGCAAAGATTTAGTGATACTAGGTGAATGCGAAGATGTGCGAGACCTTTGCCTGTCCTACCAAGCGACAAGGCCTGGTCCAAAATTTGTCAGGTTCACTCTGCCCTGTCGCACTGGATTTGTTGAACGCCTTTTAATTGTCCAAATTTGTTTATTGTGCTGTTACAGATTTTGTGTTGGGATGACAGCTTTTGCCATCCCTAGAGCCTGCTTGGTGCCAAGGAGGCGCGGCTCAGCATGCGGGCAACAATGCAACAACACCGACAACACCGCAGTGCAGACTTGGTTCATCTTGGTTCCTTCATCGAGCAGACATAAGCAGAACTGGATAGACCAGGTGCATTGGAGAGGAAGGGCCTCCAGCGTGTTGATGCGAGGATTGCTGACGCATTTTGCAGATGTTCACAGCACCAATCAATACTGACCACCAATGAACGCCATATTGTTACTGTTAGGTCCATCATTGAAGTGCCTACTGAGCCTACTGTTCTCATGCCACTCACATAGACATCGCCACATAAGTCTTACATGATCTTACATGCAACCATCGCACTGAGTTGCGTTTTGGACACCTGACAGTCCATTTGATCATGCCTGTGCTGCTTGCTGCAGCATTTTGGCAAGACGAAAGTGGCGAACTGGGGACCTCGAAAGACTGCTCGAAAGACCGGAAAGACTGCAGATGGCTGTTTGTGACCTCGAGCGTGGCCATGGCATCTCCAGAGAGCAGATCCGCTTGGGATTCATTAGGACCCTTGATCAAGAAGACTTTGGAAAGGCCTCAGGTTCCCACGTGCATTTGCAAAGTCATTTCAAACGAAAACCCTTGCTAGAGCATAGCAGTAAGGACAGTAAGGGGTACCAAAGAAAGTGCTTTGGTCGAAAAGACGACAGATCAATAGAGAGCAGAGCCGCCTGTGCGTTTCATCAGCGAAGCAAACGGGTGGGTGCTTCGCCGCAATGACAGTTCTTGAGATTTAGAGTTCATATGAACTCAACTCCGAGAGAATACTCAACTCCGGTTTGTGTCACTCAGAGAGGTTTAAACTAAACTTCTTTGGATGTATTGAAGACATGTAAACCAAACAGTGGCCAGTCACTGGATTGCGCATGCCAAGGAAGGTCTACGGCATTGTTTCCACACAAGTCACCGTCACCGCACTAGTGGCGGCATTGGCGTGTGGGCCGTTGCAAAGTCCGATGATCACCTTCGCAATGTGTCATGTCACAATAGCATCCAGGGGGCTGTAGGTGACTAGCGGCCATTACAGCTCACTCCAAATGCGGAAGAACTAAGCAAGAATTGGGCAGCAAGACATTTGGGCAACATGTGACAGCTGCTTCAGGAACTGGCCAAATTGTTTCCATTGGGGATCGCTTTTGGCCAATGGCTTAGCCTTGTTTCTTTGCCACACAGGCGGCTTGGCTGGTTTGAAGAATGTTGCATTTCACACAGTGGGATGTCAGAACAACATTCCATGCAATTTCTAGGTTTTGCCGCCGTCACTTTCAATTCCACACACCAGGCCACAAGAGATCCAAGGAAAGCTGAAGAAAGCCCTTGAAGTGAATCTGGAGGATAGTGCTGTGGGAGTTGTGGTCGTCACCGGGCAGCTGAGGTAAGAATCACTACCCAGTGAATTTCTACGGCTTGTGTGTTCTCACTGCAGCCATTGCCACTTGAGCTTAGAGTGTCAGGAGGTGTCAGGGCGTTCAACGGTTTCACATGCGCTGCGGAAGACTCTTACTGGACTTGACATCGGGTCTGCCCCACTTCTATTTGAGAGCGGCTTCTGTACCTTTCACCATACGCTTAAGCACTGGCTTCAGGCCAGTGGAACCAGCGGACTTGGAGTGCCGCAAAGCTTCCCATGAAACCAGTCAGATTCCAACTCCTTCGTTCCTAGTAGCATCCACTTGTTCCTAGTAGCTATATATTTGCTCCTAGTAGTAATGCCCTTTGTTACTAGTAGCGATGCCCTTGCTCGTAGTAGCTTCTTGTTACTAGTAGTAAGGTCAGGAGCCACCAGCAGCGTCCGTGCCACAAGGAAACGAAGCCCATTGCCACCAGTGGCTTCATGCTAGGTAAGCATTCTGTGCTTGCGGCATGTTGAGCTGCCTTCCCACCCGGTGTTTTGCCCTCGGGACTTCTAGGTCTCACATGATTTCTATGAAACCCAATTCTCGTCCAGGGCAAGAAATGGCAGACAGCTCACAAAGATGTTTGTTTAAGGTACGGGAAACTCATGCTTCTTAATCTTATGCTTCGAAGGCTTTACACTTTACACATCAGAATTGAAGTTTCATTTGCTTTGGAGCCGAGGCTCTCGATGTGGGCATTCTAAGCGCCATGATCTCTGCTGCTGGGTTGGGCGCACTACTGGTGCAGGTTTGGAATCAATTCTGTCACACGATTTTGTTGACCCGTTTCTTACCCCCTTTCATCCCCTTGCATCCCTTTGCATCGTTTGCCGCAGCGGGCTTTTTGAATGCTTTTTGGCTTTGGGATTTCGACTGTCGCAAATGCCTAACTTCTGCCGGTGAAGTCTCAGCCGCCCTCGGCCCGTTGGATTCGCACTGCATGCGAACAGTGGCATGCCCAGGCTGCCGTCCTCACCGCGCTCCTGGTGCTTGGGCTCACCATTTACACCTTCCGACGCTCGGCGGCAGGGAGGGCCCAGCGGCTCGGCCAAACGCAAAGGATGTCGACATCCCTATCCAACACCGATTTCAACCTTCGACTTCCTGATGGTTCATTGCAGTTTCTGACACATGTGAGTCACATGTGCATTTCTCTGTGCAATTTTCTCCTCGCGTGTTGCTGCATAGTCTCATCATGTCTCATCCTTAGGGCATGCACGAGTTTTGAAATGGAAGTTGGGCCAGGGAGTCATGGATGTTCCTGCATGTTTGTTGGTGCCTTCGCCAAACTTGTTCAGTTCTTCTCCGGTTCTTCCGCATCGCTCTTGTACTTCACTGAGTGTTTAGCTAAACAGGGAGTTCTTAGCAGCTTTAGGCAGCTAAGAAACTAGCAGCACTAGCGAAGCCTTTGTTGATTAGAAACCGTGAAGCAGCTATATAGATCTCGCCTTTGTTGATATCAATTGAGATTGCATCTAATCTTTTAAGCCAAGCAATAGCGTGCTCTTTCTGTAGTATCCAGGGTAAACTCCGTACACGGTACAGTAAGAGAAAGAACATACAACTCTCTCCAAAGAAATGACCCAGACTCTTATTCCTTTGAGTTTTCTTTGTCTTTTCTCGTTCACTGAAGTGTCTCATTGTCGACATCTATCGCCGCATGTGATTTCCGAGGCTCCAAGAGGGACTTTTCCCTGCTAGGCGCAGCGCTGTGGCAAGCGAGTTTTGGCCTTTTTGGCTTTGGACTGCTCTGCACCATCTTCCCATCTTTGAACACGAGCTTCATGGGATTCGCGGTCGCACGGCGTGCACGGAAGTCTCAATTCCTGCAGGGTGGCAGACCTGGCTCAGATACAGACATCCCATGAGAGAGACCAATTATAGGCCTTCAACATACTAGCATTCTTGCTAAAAGTAGCGATGCCCTTGTTACTAGTAGGGAATGGCCTCCAACCTACTAGCGTCCTTGCATACTGTCCACGACGAAGCCACGACGTTTCCGGGCATTGCCAAAGTGTTTTGTGTGTGAGGAAAGAACACCTTGAGAACCTGCAAGGGGGACCACGCAGCAATAATACTCTAGATGAAACTTAGATAGAAGCAATGAACATATTGAACACCCAGTTGAACACCCATATGGTCATAGGGCACGTCTCAGTTTGGCAAACAGTATGGAATATTATGGAATGATTGAGGCTTTTTATGAGGTATTTTCTACATGTTTGCAGTGAAGGGGTCGCATGGTCATGACGTGCACAAATCTCGTTGAGGTCTCCTTTCTAGGCGCTGGGGTCTTCTGTTGTTACCTGGTCTTTGATACCTGGCGCATTGCCCATGAGCTTGAAGTGGATGACTTCATCGAGGGCGCCATCCAGCTGTACATGGACATTGCTTCTTTGCAGCAAGTTCATGTGATGTCATGCTGCTGTCATAGCTATGAGAACTGACAATCTTGCAATTTTCACACTGATTTGTTAAACCACTGTAGTCATGAGGTATAGTTCAACCTACCTACTTGCCTGTAGCCTCTCAAAACTTCAGGTCGCATGTTTGTAGCCTCTGAGTCGCCCATACTGAGTCGCAATTCTAATAGACCAAGTTCTGAAATCCTTGTGGCCGACTTGTCAAGATACCGCGCGTTGGCCGACTTGATGTCACGGGTGCCATGTAGGTCTGTAGGTGTACGCAGCACCCAACGCCACTTTGAAACTCTTTGTGCGTCCATCAATATCATCAATTAATCAGCTTTGCAAGGGTCGAGAGTAACAAAACCAAGTTCACCAAGGTGAACATGTTCGTCTACCTCTTGGATCTTCTGATGCAGCTGAGCAAGGATCGCCGTGATGGCTAAGCGGCTAAGCATGTGTGAGTCGCTTTGTTTCCTGTAATTCACCAGCGGGTTCTTCACAGAAGCACTGGGCAGAGTGGGAAGGAGTCTGGGGACGTTCTGATATCACATCAACTTTTACATGCAACAAGTTGCACTGCCCAGTGTTTTCGAATAAATCGAGCAGCTGGACCAATTCGCCGCGGACGTTTCATTGATTTTGAAGGATCACTTTGTCGTTGTGCCACGACGTGGGGATGCAGACATGTACAGGGCCGGTTCCCCGGCAAGACCTACGGATCTTGAGGCTTTGAGTGTCGAAGTGCTTCAAGGATCCAACTTGAAGTATTCCACTGTCGGCAACAGTTATGTTCCAGGCTCCGATGAACAAAGCCTCAGGCATTTTTTTTTGTGCACATGGGAGCGGGACATTGACGTTCCAAGTCTCCCAGACAAATTCCTTCAGCCTCACCGGCTCACTGTCCACTTCCGACAAAAAAGACAGTGACCTCAGCGTCCGGATGGATGGATCCGCTGAAAAGCTTAAGGTATGGGTCAGTAGATCCATCCGGCTCGTGGCATGGACATTCAGAAAATGGTTCAATCATGTTCAATCGGTTCAATCACGTTCCATCCGTATCATCCCAGTGCTGTTGATGGGCTTTTGTTTGCCCTAGTTACCCTAGTTTCCTTTGTGTCCTGTTTCTCGCTCAAGCATGGTTTGGTGGCTTTACATCGCCAAAGTGCAGAGATGTGCAGGGAATGCAGGGTGTGCCAGTCATGATGTCCAGTTCAGCTATGGGCATCTGTGGGGTTCGCTGACATCAGTTAGGTTTTGGCTTGCAACCAGAACGTGAAGAAACATATGAGTTTGTGATAAACTATAGGTCAGAAGTCAGAAAGGTGATCCATGATCATTTGTTAGAGCCTATGTTCTTTACAAGTCACTCAGCTTTGCAAGGTGCTGTGGCAATTCCGCTACTGCATGAAGCAAGAAGAATGGTGCAAGGGTGAGAGAAGATGAGAGCCCAGAGACGCTGCACTTTATTATATGACGTCGTTCGGCCCAGCCCTGCCAGACGGTTTCCTCCGCCAAAAGCTATGTTGTGTGTTGGTCTTAAGTCTGGCATCGTTGAAGTGCTGTTTGGCATTGCGCCTGGAAACAATGCTTTCAGATGGTGAAAGCTTTCAGAAGCCAGAGCAGGGGAAATGCCCTTGAGCCAGTTCTGTGAAGTGCACGGCTTAAAAAACTTGATCCCAGAGAGCTTGGGTGAACTTGGAGTGTTGCTTCTATCCGCGAGCTCCTCATTGTTGTGCTTTACTTGGAAGAACTGTAACAGTTTTTAACAATGAGTGGTTGGAAACATCTATTGCAACAAACTCCCTGTTTGCGGATTCGATTGGGGTTCAGTTGTGCTGCCTAAATCACATATACGCGTTGATTAGATTTGGACATGTTTGCTATCACAAGTCTTCATTTTGGCATACTGTTGACCTAGGAACTCGGCCGTCAAACACGTCCATTGGCATTGCCAAGTGCCTAATGCATGACAAACCTGCCGTCGCACGGTGCAGGTTGACATCATGCAACAATGTGTAAACTTGCAGCTGGAGACTGGGCAAAACCATCATGAGGCCAGATGGAATTGGAAGAGGAAGGGAATAGCCGGATTGACTAGTCGTTCTTGCAGTGGCTTGCAGTATAGTTGTTTTTCTCTTGGACTGCTTTGCGAACGTATGCCAACATCCAATAAGATCAAGGAGCTAATTAAAACATGTTGGCAACAGTCAAGAGAACATCTTCCAAATACCGAGTGAGCACATCGATGTACGTATGGTGTGGATATTGGATTGCTTGGTGCTGCCCTTTGTGTGAAGGTGGGAGATACTGATGCCTATCGAGAAGTCATCTCAGTGCCTTGGCACGGCCAATATGACCCGGAACAATCGATCTGGGAATGGGATGCTCATGGTGAACAAGGCCCCCACTCATGCTGTTTTCAGCACGTCACTTGACTCAGCAGCATGGAAATTCCATGCACACTCAGCAGTTGGATGTTGATTGCCAGCCATCTTCTGAGGATTTTGCGGAGGAACTCTGGCAACTTGCTTGCACTGTTTGCATTGAAGCCCCAATTGTCCTCAGGTGCGTTCCCAGTTAGTCACCTTAGTCAACTTGCTGAGAGGTACACTGTAGGTCGGAGGGTGATGGAGGGTGGCCACCGAAAAAGTTATGGGCTCGTCCCAAGCCACTGCAAGGCAAGGAATGCCTGCTTGGACTGCACTGGATGGAGATGATATCCAGCAGGGGATGATTCACAGAGTGAACCGGGAAGATGAGCATGGACTTGTGACCTACGATTCTTGGCTGCCTAGGGTTGTTCCATGTCGTTCATATCCATGCTGCCTCTCAAGTCTGGAGAGATTGGAGGCCATCGTTTCTAGGATGGCGGCCACATTGCTTCTAGGTTGGAGGCCATCGCTAGTGGTTCATTTTCGTTCATATCAATCCATGCTTCCTTTTCTTTCCTCTCGAGATCTCTCGAGTTTGGAGAGGCATTGAGTTTTGGTTATCAATTAATCGGCCCTGCTTCCAGCAGTAGTGGCATGCAGCTCATGCGGGTCCTGCTTTTTTCCTGGTGTAGGACTTCCAGTACTCGAAGACTGTGACTGAGGTGGGGGTTGGTATCACAGAGAGAGAGAGAGAGAGCGCGGAGCGTGCGTGTTTTTTAGATGACAGATTGCATTCTGATTCATAGTATTGTAGAGTGTATTGAATTCCTGCAGGCCGCCTGAATTTGTCCACCCGAAATCTTCGAGTCTTAGACTCAACCACTGTGCTGCTTGCAACACATTTGCTTCGCACAGGGTGGCAAGTCGGTGAGCAAAGCCTTCATTGTCAAAGATCGTCCTCGCAGAGAGATCAAAACACGACAGTCCGAGCCCAGGTTGTCTCCGTCATTTGCAGGAAACGAAACAGAACACGGTCGCCGGGCGCCCATCAATGCCATCATTATTGAGACCCCAAGATGAAATACAAGCCAGATACAAATCACCATAAACAGGTGATGAGGGATCCGGGATCACGTCTCACTTCGGGCGCATTTGCCTCGAGGCTTCTAGTAAAAGGCGACCCCGCTGGTGGGAAAACCACCTTTGCCAAGCAGCTGCTCACGTGGATTATGCCGGGGTCTCGGCACGAGTATGGGTAACGGGCTCAAGCACGGGGTCGTTGGAGGACTGCCACCTGGATGCTCGGTGGTCAGTGGGAAACTCGGTTGCTCCGAATGCCTGTGTTGTGTCGAGAGTTGGCTCTTGTGTTGTTTAGATGTGTTCACAGTTGCTTCTTGTTCCTATATAGTAGCTTCTTCTTCCTAGTAGAAAGGCCAGGAGCCCCGAACATAGCGTCCTTGTTCCTAGTAGCAATGCCCTTTTTTCCTAGTAGCGAATCTTGTTACTAGTTGAGCACAAGAATCTCAAAGAAATCGCCGACCTTCCACATCATTTCACATCGCAGGCGAAGCCCTGATACCAAGTGGTTGGTGCCAGTGATGGTGCGCACCATTGATGCTTGGCGTAGCTTCGTTTTGTGGCACCGAAGACAAAACGATTGGACCGAAATGGTTGAAGCCCCAATTATCCTTCCTATGTTCTTACTAAACTATGCATTCAAAGCCATATTGTCTCCACGTTCAGAACCTTCTTATGATTCATCAGTTCTCAACAGTGCTTTTCCATGTGACTTGCAAGGATGCTTTCAGTATTTTTCTGGAAAAGGGAAGAGTGCCCGTGCCATTTTGTTCCGTGGCCGTGGGTGCGTTCCGTGCTGGGTGCGGTGCCCGTGCAACGGCACCACTGCATAGTTGAGGTGATACTCTCTATGACACATTCAAGGAATAGGAGTATGACATCGGCAGCCTCAAATGCCACGTTTGTTTCAATAGCAAAGTATTTGTTTGGGAAAACATGGAAGCGGGCTGAGCCTGGCTGAAGCTGTGAAGAAAGACCAACGTGGAATTAGTATTACCATTATTAGCTTTCAGGTTAGCACTGCTTAAACAATTTCCATTTGTTGACCAGGTTTGTGTTGCTTCCATGTTAGTGGTGAATTGTTAGGAGCCAGGAGCCGGGTTGCATTTTTGAACAAACTTAGAAGCCACGGATATATACAATGAATGATGTGCCGGCGTTGTGGCCATCTTGCTGAAGGGCCATGAAAAGGTTCTGCAAAGACTTGGCAAGACTTGTATAGTTTTACGACCAAAGAGGGGTGGAAACTGAGCCTGCACTCAATCACTTTGCACACATCTTTTGGAGTCCACCTCTTGGGGGAACGGGGTCGCTCGAACCTCTCCAATTTTGTTCGGGGAAGGTTTTTGGCGTAGCCGTAATGATAGTCACCTTTGGAGTTCATTTCGTTTGTTTTCATTGTGCCGTCATTTGCGTTCATTGTGTTTTTCATGTTTTTTTTTGTGCTTTTCTGGTGCTGAATTCTATAGCTATTTGCTGTATGTTTTTGAATTTTACAATTTAGAATGGCCTGCCTAATGCTAAGCTCGCTAAATCCTTTAGCGACCATCTATTTGCAAGACACCAAGCAAAGCGCAAAAAGTCAGAAAAATCAAACAATCAATAAGTGAAAAAAGTCAAACAAAATAACAAAAAGGTAAAGGAAACGAAAGCACGCAGAGAGACTATTGGAGACTTTTCGACTTTTCGAGATGTTTGGACACCAGTCACATGCCGTGCCCTTCAACAAAAGTCTAGCAAAATTGATCCAAACGTTGCTTTTGCTCCTACAGATATAGGTATAGGTTGCTGTTTTCCAGACATCTCCAGCCGTGTCAAAGTGAGTCAGCCTCGAGCAGGAACGCCTTCAAAAAAGAGATGCCCGCCAAAAGGACCCGGCAAGCCCCGCGACCTTTTGGTGGGTGACTCTTTTTATCATCGTTGCCTTTACGCGACTTTTTGCGAGTTTTCGACTTTTCGCAACAAGTTCGGAGAGCAAGGAGATTCAGCTCACACATTTAGCAACCACAGGCCTAATGCGAATTAGACATTTTTCACTTCCTTACTTGCTTGTTGTGTGTTTGCTTTTTTCTTGAGCCGTGAGAACGGACTCCTTTCGGATAGACAGTTGTTTGGAATCATTGCGCATTCAAAACCTTTCCTTCTTTCTGGAAAGGCATGCCGAAACGCCTAATATTGTTGTTGGGGGCACATCAGCTAGTAGACCTGGCACACGGCCAAGGATTTGGTTCGAAGCCACCAGGATTTCGCGGAGGAAACAGATATGGCGACATGGCACAATGCCAGCGATGAGGGCTCCAGTGTAGAATGTTTGAAATTTGTGATGGGGCAGCACCCACCAGATCCGTTGATTTGTGATGCGTTGCTGACGATGACGTAGTGTTAGTGTTACCATGTGTTACCCCTCGAGCCCCTACGTAGCTAAGTAGGCGTTTGTCTTTGTCGGACGCTTGTTCGCAGTAGAATCACAAAAACCATGGTTGATTGAAAGAGTGGTCTGCAGCATGTTTGCCATGTTCCTTTTGTCCGCTCTGCAGGTGAGCCAATATTTAACCATGGTCTACGAAGAACCTTCACGGCATTGTGGTGGCTGTTTGGAAACCTGTAAAACAATCCCCACAGCCCGTTCCGGGTCAACTTACAGCTGACCTTTTCGGTGCTGGAAACAGCAATCCCGTTGGTTCCTATCTTCAACTCCTCTTCGGTTCTTACTTCAGAGATTCCTTCGTTAATTCATCCAGATTCATCCGACTACTAGGAGCATGGACGCTACTAGGAGACGCTACTAGGGGCTCCTGGCCTCACTACTAGGAGCAAGAAGCTACTAGGAGCAAAGACAGATTCCTCGTTTCAAAGGACTCAGAGCATTGGGAGCTCATCGGACTAGCTCGAGAGAATGGGCGCCTTTTGGTGATCCTCGACGGCTTCGATGAAGCCGGCTTTCTCGAAAGTACCTCGGTCTGAACATCCAACGAAACATAGAATGTATGAATGTATTTGGCTGCGGTGTTTTCTCTGTTGACTCTCTCAGCCTTTCTTGCAAGCCTCTTTATTTAAGCCTGATATGTGCAATACGTAGAGGTATTGCAACTTCGAGGCGCCCGTTGCCAAGAGATGTTGATACCGTTGCAGGAGAATTGGCGCAAGAGATCTCCATGAAGTTGAACAATGAAGTCTTTCTCATTGCGGCCTGGTGGCGGGTAATTCGATGAGTTGAGGATTTCTTGGATATTTATTTGATTTCAATTTCTCCTGGATTGTTTGCGAATGTTTGTGATGTTTACGATATTGGTCTTGGATCTTTTTGAGCTTCCCACACCTCGTTGTTTTCTTCCCTTCGCCCAGCGACCGTGCGCATGTTCAAAGACCATGTGACCCGCCCCGGGTGACCATCGGTGACACTTGAGGTGACCAGCCGAGAGATGAGCGGCTACCTCACCGGCCCTGATTTCGCACGGTTCCGATCCGTGAGGCAAGCTGGGCAAGCGGAAGATGGGAGTTGAATCGGTCCACATCCGAAAGAGCCATGTGGATTTTACACGGTCTTACATGTGCGTGGAGACATGTGGAGACCCAAAGAGTGTTTGTTTCTTTTAAGTCTTTAAGTAGTGGATGTTGAATGATTGAAATCGTGACTTGGCAAACGTCCAGGCTTTTGCATGCTTTCACCTTCGATTCTGGTTGATTTCATGCATCCCACGTTCAGATTGTCCGGATAGCAAGTCGACATATCCATGTTTGCCGGCTTGCGCAGGGTCAAGGAGCTGAACGAGACGCAGAGGCGGCAGGTGATCCAACGTCGTCTTGGCGACCCTCAGGTAGGGGTCATTGGAGGGGTCACTGTGAGAGTCTTACAACATGTGATGATGTTTAGACAGGTGATTCCACAGTGGTGACTGTTGACAATATGCAGACAAAAAGCATGACAATGAGCCTGTCGAGGGTTCTAAATGGTTTGTCGATCTCTTGCCAGAATTCGCGAGCGCGGACCTTGGGGGCGCCAGGTGGTGGAAGCCTTCTGTAATCAGCTCACGTTGAACCCAGCCTTATGCACCATGACCAGGAGATGGGCTTCCAGTGCTTGGTTTGTATGGATCTTCCAATTGTCGTCGCACGAGTGTGCATATTCCATGCCTATTCCATGATGTACACTTGTGCGGACATCCGTAATGCCAAGCAATGCCAGCACGCTTGGTGCATTATTCTCAAGTTTAAGTTTCCCTAAAAATCAAGGAACCAAATGAATAGTGTGAGCGCTTCTTCAAGGAAGCGTGAGCTATCCTGCGTCCATGCTAGTAGCTACTTAAGCTACTAGGTACCTTTTCTACTAGCTACCTCTAGCCACTGCCTCCCTCTACGGCCTACCCCTTTCAGCTTTAAACAAATCAGTAAAGAATTAAAGAAACACAACAACTGTGGGGGATGGGAAACTGTGGCTCCTTGGTGATGTTTCGTGTCGTTACCGTGATTCCTGTGACCCGGCAGGAATCCTTTACTGCTGAACGTCACTCTCTCGGTCTACGAGACTGCAGGTCAGCTTGGCGCAGGCTCTTTAAATCGAGGCTGGAGACCGGACTGGAGTCGGTGGGCACATGGAGCATCATGCTTGGGAGGCCCACCACAGCAGGAGATGCAGCATGCCCTGCCGGAGGCTCCAAAGCTCCTAGTAGCGTCCTTGCTCCTAGTAGTAAGGCCAGGAGCGCTTAGTAGCGTCATTGTTCCTAGTAGCAATGCCCTTTGCTCCTAGTAGTGTCCTCTAGGCTGCAATAAGTCTATAAGTGCCTTCCAAGGTAGCCTTGTTCTCCGAAACCAGTTCCGGAAATGGAGTTCCTGTAGTAGTTCCTGTCAAACATGGTCAAGTGGCTCAGGGACTTGGAGCCCCACAATGAAACTTGTCATACTGAGTCATACTGCGTGTTTCTCGTGTCATGTCTTCGTTGCTTTTCCTGGGCCCATCTTTTGCGCACGGTGGTCAGGCAAAGTGTATGGCTTAGCCCTCGATGGCATGCTCAAGAACTTGGAACATGCCAAGGCGGTAAGCAGTCACTTGCCGCACTCCAAGACTGACTCGCTGTGCGAGGAGGTATGGTAGGTCCACCGACGTCCACAGAGGTCCAGGTCCACAGTTGCTGCTAGCTGCTTTTACACGGGAAACGGAGGTGGAACCTGAAAAGCACTCGCAAGAAACACTGCAGTAGCTGTTACAGTGAGAAAGGGGGATGAGATTGATGAGATGGGAGAAATCAGGCAGTAGATTTGAGAGTAACAAGTGCATCGCCCATCGCTACTAACAAGTGCATTACTTCTAGTAGAAAAAAGGACTTAGTGAGTCAACGCACCATCTTGAGGGCCTGGGGCCGCCCAGGCACCTCACGCGTGGTCACTGCCAGCACCTTGCGTGAGGTTCTGAAAAGCAACTGGTTTGCAGATCTCCGGACGGAGACGTCAGACGGCAGACGGATATCGACTTGGGGATGGAGGGCCCCACCAAGAATTGGGAACTTGGGAGAAGATGTGCTGCAATTGGGTAGAACTGATAGAATGGTTAAATATCCTTTCTTGCAGAGCTTTCCAATACCAGACAGATGCGCGAAACATCGTCTCAAGTCAACGACCAAGTTTTGCACTTGGGTATGCTTAACACAGTTCTGAACACATAGCGGTCTCGAGAGCTCAGAGCGCACGCTTCAACAGTTCAACATCCTTCGAGATGTTTCAGACCTTGAAGCGGATGCAACCAGGTTTTGGGCAAGCTGTATGACGGTCATGGAGGATCAATGAGGGTTATAAAGATAGCCTTTGAATCTAGGAGCCGCATGAATAGAAGCGTGAGCCATCCTGTGTCCGTTCGCTAGTAGCAGGTTAACCAGTAGTTTGTTTGGCTCTCAATTAAGTAGGCGCCTAGGGCAACGGCCTGTTAATCACAATGGCCTCCAACCTAATAGCAATGGCCTCCAACCTAGAAGCGATGGCCTCCAATCTAGAAGCGGTGGCCTCTAACCTACAAGCGATGGCCTCCAACCTAAAAAATATAACACACATAAACACATCATATACTGTGATAAGTGATAAGTGTATTGTTGATCGTTTCGATCTGAAGCCGCAGGCATCGCTTTTTTGGCCCACTCTGACCGCAACGGCCGCGGTGTGCGAGACTTCCGTCGAGAGCTGGTCCATCGGGTGCGCAGGGGAGAAAGAACAGCTTAAACATGCTTATTAAGAAACTCTACTAGTAGACTCCTTGTTACTAGTTTCTTGCTACTAGTGGTGATGGCCTCCAACCTAATAGCGATGGCCTCCGACCTACTAGTAGCTTCTTAAACATGCTTAAACATGAGGCATTCTGGATCAGGTGAACCAGATCACCCGTTTTTTCTGTGTGGCAGACCTGACAGTTCCCCATGGCCTGACCAAAGGCATTCTAGAATTATACGAGTAACATCACTCGTCAATTGCATGCATAGGGCCGGCTAAACTGCCGTGCTGTGAGACAACAGGTTGCTCCATACGTTCCTCATAATTTGTGAGCCTCTAAGTATTTGCTCCAATCTGCCGCTCTTGTGGCAGGCCATTGACTGCTGCCAATTGGGTGCATCCTTCGATTTAAGCCACTGGAATGAGATCGAAGATTTGATCAAGCCGCGTGGCTCAATTCGATGTGCCTTTTTGCCGTGACATGCAGTGGCTTTCATCATCCAGCAGCTTGAAGAAACAAAACATCTAGCCGGTGTTTGTCGCTGTTACACCTTCTAGGAGGGACTACGGTGGCACTAGTTGATGCATGTTCACCGGTTCACGCTATGGATCTTCGCATCATTTTCCTAGCTTGCGATGTGTTGCAGATCGTCGTGCATCGGCTATTTGCGAGGTGAGCTAGCTTAGGAGCATTTCGTTTCAAAAGTGATCACTTTTTTGGGGAGAGCTTCACTGAGCCTCTGAGTGGTTGCATGTGGTTGCATTTATGAGTTGTTGTTTGATCTCTCAATGACTGCAGGAAGGGGCGTCTACCCTTGCTCACTTGGTTCTCTGAATCCGGCAACGACACCTTCCGCTTCGCCCACTTGACTTTTCAGGAGATTTGATTCGTAAGCCGTAAGCATGATCCTTAAAAAGGTGTGTGGACACACAGGCTAAATCTAACCTTCTCACTGCAACAGACAGCACAGAAATCTGGCAGCTGAACAAGTGAGGGCGTTGTTTTGTTTCTTTTGTTGTGGTGCCCTGTGATGGCTGGCAGCTTCAAATCGGGTTATGTCTTGTAAAACAACAGCGGTCGTACTTGTGCAGAACAATTAGGTGCAATATTTACATAATCCATGCCACATTTCATGGGAAGGAATTTCTATGCGCAGAGCATTGCTTGCAGATGTGTCAAGAGCGTACCTCTTGCTGGATTGGCCGCATGCGAGGGGAAGTTGGTAATAATTGTTTTTGGGCAGCCTAGTTGGTGAGTTCGAGAAGTCTTTTCCCCGTAGTTATGACTGAGCTTCGGGCGAACACTCACGGTTAAAGCTTTGCTGGCCTCTCCCTCTTCAATAGACGGCAACTCGTTTGCGTCGTTTTGCGATCATTTTGCAGCTTTCTTGCTTGACGATTAGAATCATGTTCCATATCAATGCAGAATGATCGACAAGCTTAAGTGAGGTTTGACCATTGGGATGGAAAGCGTTCGCCGAAAACTGAGGCGAAGACTTTGTTTTCACTCTCCGAGATTTGATTTGCCCTGATCAGCCTCAGCAAATCATCGAGCGAGGCAAGACACGGTTTCCAACGCAGCAAGAAAACAAGACGATGGGAGCCCCTAGTAGCGTTCGTGCTCCTAGTAGTAAGGCCAGGAACGGTGGAAGGCGTCCTGCAAGTATCTGGACTTTAGAGATTCAAGTTGCTTCCTGCATGCTGCTTGTTCAGCTTTTGGTGAACAAGTTTCAAGACTAATACTAAACGGGATCTGTCTGGAGATGGTTCTGTTGGCCGTGACGGCAGGGTGGTGGCAGCAAAGCATCCAGATGTTTTGTGATTTGGCCGTGGCGAGCAACGCACGGGAGAATGGCCAATGCTGGGGCAGCGTGCTGGGAGAGTGCCTCTTACAGCTCGGGAGGCGCAAGATAAACAATTCAACGCAGCCAGATGTCATTCAGATGCCGTCGGCTAGTCAGTGCACTCAGCAAACTCGGTAAACAGTGCGAAGCGGTTAGCTTCAATCTAGCAGGCAGTTATTCATGGAAGCTAAGTGCAGAGGGTCGGCATTGAACTCCGTTTGTGCACAGGTGCTGAAAACATGTTGAAACATAACTATATATGTTATTGTATGTTATTGTTAGCATTTGACGATTGAGCACTTATCAAATGGATTCAATTGGTGTTTACCTTTTCCTCTTTATGATTCGTGCTTTAAATTTCATATCTTAAAACTACAACAGCGGCTGAGGGTGAAGCTTTCTTGTGGAAGTCGTAGAAGGGCCGACCGGGGTGCCACGTGGCTTCCAGGTTCAATCGCCAGACCCACACCGAGAATGGCCACGTGTCAAGCTACGTGGAGACTCCGGCTTCACCCGCCTCCGACTCTGATAGCCTGCGACACTTCGTTCCATTGCGACGAGCTCAAAGTGCCTGAGCCGCCTATAGCCCACCCTTTCTGAGTGCGATGGCCTCCACCATTTCTGGCATGTGTTCATAGCCGCTAGTCATGATCAAATGATTTGTGAGGCAAGTTGCCTAGAACGGTTTGTCCATGTTTGCCCCAATGCTGTCCCAATCATTTTCCTTTTGCGTTGTTGCATCTTCAAGTGGCAATTATTCCTTCCATCCAAAGTTCGTTGTGTTTTCGATGGCCATCCCCGTGGGCAATGTCCTGGTGGTGACACAATCGTACAAGAATCATGAAACTGCAGGAAACCCGAATTTGCATGGTAACTTCATGCATGTGACGATCATACAAGGTGGGAAGGTATGTTGGGGACGTTGAAGGGGCTCACTGCGACCAAAGGACGAAGAGTCGTGGAGCCCAAAACCGTGGACTTTCTGTTGCACGGCTGAATGACTTCCGCCTTCGACCATTCTCCTGCAACGTATCGTTCGGTGCCTGCATCTTTCTTTGGGTTTTCAAGTTGTTTCCAATCATAGTCGAAGCAACAGGGAAGAGAGCCTGGGCCTACGCCTACTCTTGGCTTCTAATTGCCGTTTTCGATGGCCGTATTTAGAGTGCATTGAAAATTGAAAGCCCATGGTTTGAGTAGATGCAGTGCTCATAGGCATCTAGTCAATGACACCAACATCTTGACGGTGCTGTCCATGCTCCGCGACAGCGACACTGTCGAGCATCTCAAGCTCCTTGGTGTCGACGCACGTGGCCTCCACCCTAGTAGCGGTGGCTTCCAACCTAAAAGCTATGGCCTCCAACCTAGAAGCGTCCTAGCTACTAATAGTAATGCCCTAGCTGGCCTCCAACCTAAGAGCTATGGCCGTTTCTCCAGAAAGTGCTTGTTCTCAGACCCAGACCGAAGGCTCGGCGGGGGCCTTTCCTCCAGTGGCATTGCCACGATCCGCACCTTGCCACCTGGCCACATTGAAGGTATTGGCTAAATTGGACTTCCTTGACTTACTTAATAATTAATACTTATATAATCAATAATACTTCCATTTATATATATATATACGTTGTGGGATCCACTCAGGCTCCGAACTTTTGCCTGAACTTCCTTTCGTTTTGTCTGACAAACGAGCGCGTTGAGAGCAGACATGTGGAAACCTTCAGACTGGCTTTCAGCTAACGGCGGAGCTGTCATGTGCTGTGCTCAGAGCAATGCAAAGTCCATTATGATCCCAATGATTTCATGAAACTTCAGCGCCCCGAAGTCCATCCCCCTACTTGCGCCTTAGTACTCACCGAGGCTTTGCAAGGCCTCACTAGGCCTCACTGTTCAGGAACCACTCAGTTAACAGTTAACACTCAATGTTCCCAAACCTTCCCAAGCCCACTGCTGCTCTCAGTAGATTCTTCGAGGTGCGTGGGGTTGATCTTCCGTGTCATGTTAAAGGCTCCATCATGTTGAATGATCCTCAACGAATGGCACAAGACAAATGCAAAGGTGGTGCCAGTGTAGGAACCATGTCAGCCACGAGAATCGCGAGTGCCGTGCGAGTATTGAATGCGATGGAGTGTGTTGATGCAGCATAGCACAAAGGGTGAACAAGAGCCACCGAACGGTGTCAATCTCCGGCGCTGACTTGGTGCCGGAATCGTTTGGGCCCAAGCTGAGCTGAGGCAGGTGAGTAAGCTGAAGGGCCTCTATGTCAACCAGAACTACATCGGCCCTGATGGCTGTGTGTAGCCTGGCCTTGAAGGTCATAAGACATGGATTTCTATGTTTGGGGCTGCGTGGGCCAAGAAGACCAACAACCTACTAGCGATGGCCCTAGTAATTGATCCCATAACTACATGTTTTGTAGTTCTTGACACAGACTTGGCACAGACTGCTTTCGGACGGTTTCACGTGCTGATGTTCACCCTGGCAGCTACAGGGCGATTGCCGATTTCATGCGAAAGACCAACACCCCTTTGGAAGTGTTGGAGCTTGCCTCTCGGCCTGGAGCGCAATTGGTGAGCCGTTCATGAAACAATCAGACACGATATGACAAGATAGATTTGGAGGGTGTAATGATGTGTAATGTCATATTAACATGTTTAGTTTGGTTTCCTGTTCTTTTTGTGTGAGTTTGTTTTCCTCACATTTCACTTCCCAAGAAACAAGCACAAGCCCATGGCGGCCCTTTCTGTATTCTTGTGCTATACAGCTTGCCGCATGAGGAAACACGTGGTGACGTGGTGACGTGGTTTGTTCTCTCGCGACGTTGCCTTGGGGGCCTTGAGGTGAACAACGTGATTTGCCAAGGAGCCGCGAAGGAGCCTGACGACCGCTGCTGCACGCATCTTGCTCGATGGCCTGTGGCTTATGGAAAACCCGAACCTGTCAGGCCCTGTTTTTTGGCAACTGCACAGACAAAACAACAACCGAACAATCCCCCGACCTTTTTGGGTGTTTGGCCCGGAACCCTCAAGCTGGGTGTCCTGGGAAGTGCGAAGACTTCATGACTGTGTGCGGCAAGGTAGCTTGGCATAAGTGAAGTGTACATATTGGAGGTGTTCGATTACCTGTGACAGTCGGCACACAATGATCAATATTGATCAATCATCACCATATTAAAGGAAGGCCTTTACTAACCATCATCATCCCCTGTTGCAGGGAATCCTTTGTTTTTTTGGTATATTTCGTGGACAAAGGTTGAGAGTCCAGCGGTCAGATGCTTTGGGATGGTGTCCGTGCATGGAATCCCCGTTGAACGTGCGACCTGGACACATGTCTCTAAGGAGGTGACACCGCCAATGACACCGCCCCCGAAATGTCTCGCGAACATAGAGGATTACCAGTACTATGGATTACTTTAAAATCAGTGGTGTCACACCCCGTATCAACCAATGACATCCCCTTCCAAACATTGGTTGATAAATGTTGATAACATTTACGCTCGATAACATTTGCTTTGCCAACTTGCAATTTCTTGTACAGACACTGAACGTTGGGCTTTATACTAGTACGTAACAGCTGACTAGCGGTCCTTGGCCACAACCTGTGCACTAAGATGGAAAGCGGAATAAGAATCCACTGTTACAGGGAATGGGATACACCCAATGTATATAATACAAGTCCAATAGCATCTTAACCCTCACAGAGCTTGCTGAAACTCTCATGCACAGGAGAATATGCTGCCAGTCTCGCGGAGGAATCCACCAAGTGGCTACTACGACTCCTACCATCAGGTGGAAAACCCAGAAGGTCTCACTCCAGCCGTGTCCGCATGTGTGTCCGTTATGAGGCCACACAGACGAGAAAACTCGGTTGGACCGTCGCAAGAACAGCTTCAGCAGCACGTTGAATTAGGGTGTCTCCATGTGACATGTGTCTCCTAATTACTGGTTTAAGTTGTGAGGCGCCCAAGTCACAGTTGAAGTGTCCCGCATTTGTTTGATGTTTCGAAGCTGAGAAAACACACCTTGAAGGAGCTGAGCGGCCTCAAAGAGTTGTTGGAGGTGATTCGAGATCATCCAACCATGAGATCCTTGTAAGAATTGGGGGCTTCAAAATACCATTCGGCCAAGTTTGGCCAAGTGTCAAAACATGGTCCAAACCCCTCAGCTTGACATCGGGATCTCAAAATGGGGCTTGGAGTTGGACTTTGGCTCATATGTTCGGATTCAGGATGTTCCAGCTACAACCGAGACGGCAACCACCCAAATGCAAAGAGCCCTTTTCCCATTTTTTCCCCCACGGCGCTGCTGCTAATCAAGCCATGTATATATTTTTCAGCTCTAAAAACTAAGGACATTAGATGACATTCGTGTTGGGTTTTACTTATATCAAATGAATGCCAGTAGACTGGGTTTTACCGGACTCGACGACTCGACTCGACGACTCGCCTCGCCAGTCTTGAGGGATCCTCGACGTGCGTGGCAACTTCCTGCCCCTCCAAGCCGGGACCTTGCTGGCCGAGGTGGGGCAGGAAGCTCGTCGTTCATTGTTTAGTCAAGTCGTTGAGTCGTTCGCTTTGGTTGCGGCTGTGCTTTCACTTTCGGATCAGACATCATAAAAGGGTTCACTTCAATAAAGATTCGGCTGGCTTCAAGGTTGTCCAGTGGAATCGGAACAGGGAGGAGTCAGGAGGAGTCCATTTGGTGCACTGTCTTGCATTCCGCTGCAGTTTTGTGGGGTCGGGTGTAGGTTTGCTCATAGCATCCTATGCATGGAGGGCAGACAACTGACAAAATCAGCGAACTTTTCTACTAATCGTCTTCGAAGGATGCGGACATATGTGCGCACAGGCACATATTTTTTATTGCCAGGGTTGCCACGGTCATTGTGCCATATCGTGTCAGCCCTGGAGGTCGTTTGTGGGCAGAATCGGCTGGAGAGTGTCTGTGGCGTTGCTGGTCTAAGACCGAAGAGATGGATAGGCCGCAGGCACTGCAGGCTAGATAGCTGTCCTAGCCTGACCTTTGTGGTGAACTTGACAGACAAAACTGCCCAAAGATTGCTTGAACGTGTCGTAATTAGATATTAAATGGCCTACAGCAAGAGTGCACGTCGTAGGCATGTTCCATGGGTTGTCGTGGTGCCAAGGTTGACGTCCCTGCACTGAAGAGCCAGTCTTTGACGGTCTTCAAACTGCACAATGACGCCTACTTTTTCAATGCAGCACCCTGCCGAGATAACGACAGACCATCCGAGACAGCTTGTCCCAGCCACCATATTCTCAACCCGTACAAATGTCCAGAATGGGTGCTTGTTCATGGTGTTGTGAAGAGAGTGAAAGCATTTGTTCTGAAAGATGGACATGTGATTTTCCCGCAGCTGCAGCTGAAAGCAAAAGGAACCTACTAGCGATGGCCTCCAACCTACTAGTACCGACTAGCACAAGGAACCCCTGGTTTGACGTTTTGGATCACAAACGCATAGAGCCAAGGAGTACCACGCCAGACAAGATGCTCCGTTCCTTTCCACTGGTGGAGTGTCCTGACATTGACGCAGGTCGATAGGCTCTTTTATACCTTTGCACTGATAGCTCGGCTTTTCATCCAGACAGCTTGACCCAGAAGGCCAGAAGGCCCAGTTTGACAGTATGTTTGTTCTTTTAACCTCCGGAAGGTAAACTGTAACAAGAAGCTACTATATAGTAGCTATTTGCTACTAGTAGTAATGCCCTTGTCACTAGTAGCGATGCACTTGTTACTTATATATATCGTCATTTAAGTTTTATGTCAACTTATGTTTTCGGATGCAAGGCTTACTTTCTTGTTCAGCTCCTCTTGCGCTTCCCGTCACCGCGGCTCACCACCTTGCAGCTCTCGAACCAGGCTTGAGTGGTCAAGCCACGACATTACGTTGTGACTGTATGTTGGGGTGTTTGGTCACTAGGATGATTACCGTATGTTATGCACGGAACTGCCATTGTTGTTCAACACTCACCATGACTCAGCACTCCAGGCAGAGCTTGTAAGCATGTGTGTGTACAATCAACCAACTCAGCTTACGAATCAGTTGGCTCCAGCCATTGGTTCGAGGCCTTAGCATCAGATATGGCCGGGGTGGTGCAGCAATTTGGCCAAAAAGTGGGGTCACGACGAAATGAATTCGATGATCGGCGATGAACTCATCTTCAAGCACGTGAGAATGGCTTTTATTTTTCCAGAAATTCATCAATTTTATGATTTTACCAGTCTATATTGTTCTATCATATTCTTCCATTCCATGTCCAGCTTGGTTCCGGTGAGAAGTAGAAGTCATCCGTAGTCATTTTGTGACGTTTTTCCTCCCAGACTCGCGCGATTCCATCGCCCGGAAGTCGCGCGAGTCCATCGCTCAGGCTTTATGACGAGCTCGGCCAAGCCCTGGAGAGCTCCCGGCTTCATTTCTTGGATCTCAGTGGCTTTTGGGTCCTTTGGAGAAAGAGACGGGGAAAGGACGTGTGAAGCTGCCATCTCCGGGACGACCTGGGAGACTGCCATGCCGAAGTCAAGCTGCACATCCGTTCGAAAGCTCCCTTCTAAGCTTTGACGCATGTTGACGCCAATGATGTCGAACATCAGTTGCCATTCCCGGCCATCCCATCACGCTGGGATTGGAGTTGAGGAAGCACGCATCGAGCTGAACCAGTTTACATAGATTCCTTTGGCCTTTGGTGATTATGGGCATGCGGCATGCATGTGCCACCCAAACCAGGACCTAGGGCCCTGAAGGGCCCGGCGACTGGCTCGCTTGCACTGTTCTGAGGATAGCGGCGCAGCAGCTGGAGCAGCCCTTGGCACTCACCTGGCCAAGATAGATACGACTCTCGGTCAGAGAGAGTCCCAGAGGCCATCGCTACTAGGGTGGAGGCCATCGCTGCTAAGGTGGAGGCCATCGCTATTAGAAACAAATAAAGAAAAGGAAGAAAGGTCTGATATAGTTTGCTATTAGGTCGGAGGCCATAGAAAGTCCCAGAGTTTGGATGCCACCGACGGTGCTTGAACAGGTCGAACACATGAACCTAACACTGTGAGAAGCAGGTGCAGCGTGAACGTGAGCGTGAGCGTGCGGAGATGGAATTGACGAATTGGATGAACACCAATAGCTTACAAAAAAGATAGTTACTCAACATAATATATAGATCCATATAAAGATGGTGCAGAAAGATGCTAAAAGCGTTTTTTGGACAAATTCGATTCCAAGGCTCCAGACAATCAAAGTGGGCACTGGCATGCTGGACTTGCAGATGATTCGGTCCAAAGGCCCATCTCGGGGAGAGACACACGGGCGATTCGCACAAAGCACTCCGAGAAGCGCAGCGCGTCGAGGAATGGAAGACACGACAAACTAGCTTTTGAAAGAAAGGACGAAGCAATAGAAAGCATATAGAACACATGACCTTGCAATATGTTGAAACAGTTTGTCAAAAAGCACCACTCCATAGAGTCTCTTGAGCACTCCATTTTTTTGGCAAGCCAACTTTTGGCTCTTGTCCAGTCCGAGAGGGGAGGGAGAGATGAATCAGAAAGGGAGTCTTGGCTCCTTGTCACTTGTAGAGCATAGATGAGCCACAGTATGAATCATATCGCTAGTAGGAGGCCATTCCTATTGGCTCCTTATGTTGGAGGCTATCGCTTTGTCGCCGTGAGGTCAAAGTGGCGGACCAGAAGAGTTGAAGTTGGGAACCTCCAGGAATTGGCGCTTTGTGCCAAACATGGTCAAGCTCAGAGCCAAACTTGGAAGTGAAGTCTTAGACCAGAGAGTTTTGACACCCGTTAAAGATCTTTAAAGTTATGTCAATCTTTAAGTTTTTCACGAGACTAGAAAGAGAGCGGAGTGAGAGGACTCTGAGAGGACCAAACCAAAAGAGAGAGAGAGAGAGAGCGGTGAGAGCGGAGTCCGTGTTTTTTTTTCGGAGTTGCCAGGATGCGAGACTGCGGTGCGGGGATCATCAGTCAATGCTTGCCGCCCAATGTCACAAAGATCAATCTGGCTGGAGCTGGGGTTGGTGCCAATGGCTACAAGGCGCGTGCAAGCTAGGGGAATGAGCAGACCTGAGTAAACACCAGCAGCTTTCTGGCGCTTGAGAGAAGAGTGACGGTTTATCGAGTGAACCCAGTCGCAGCTGCAGATTGAATCAACAGATTGTTCATGTGGCAAGTGCTTGGCTTGCCGTGCTAAAACAAAATGTGTTCTGCTGCATGTGTTTCCAATCACCAATGACCAACGGAATCGATCACTCACCAGATCCGACAAGGCAACCAGGCCATAGGCGGCACCCCCGTGAGTGTCGATGAGTAGCTGTGCTGCCAAAGGCAGAGCCAGCTGCCTTGACATTGACAATGTCCCTCACCGTCCCTCCCCTTTCATATTACATATAGCTTACATGGGTCAAATTAACAAGACAGCTTGGTCCATGTGGCTCATGCAAATTAATCGTATGCAACCCTGCACCGGATTGGAGGAATCAAGATCCCATGATAATGAATCGCAAGGAACCGAGGGAAACTGAAGGGGACAAGCATGACCTGACAGATCCTCTCGCAATGCCCCAGCCTTCAGCAGATCGATGGTGCCTTGGTAAAATCGCTTGACCTGTCATGCAAGCAAACATCTATAATCCAGGAACAAGGACGCTACTAGGGGCTCCTGGCCTTACTACTAGGAGCAAAGACGCTACCCGGGACTCCTGGCATCTCTACTAGGAGCAAGAACGCTACTAGTAACAAGAAGCTCCTTGTTCGGATACGAAGCGAGATGACATTCACTTGGAGCCGGTCAGAGATCCAATTTGCGAGACATTGGGTTTCGGTCAACAGTCAACACATTTTAACCTTATATTAGTGTTACAATGTTTTTACACTGTTTGCAATCCAACGGAGGTGTATCAGATGCCGTTCCCATGTTGCATCCAAGGTGTGGATTTGAGTGCATTCAAGGCCAGGGCGGCCAGGGCATTGTGTTTCGGCCGACTTTTTCTTAGTTTCTAATAGCAATAACGGCCTCGAACCTACTTGTACTAGCGATGGCCTCCAACCTAATACAAGGAACGAATGCAGGAGCGCAATTGTCGCATCAGGCCAGGCCATCCTAGGCCCTAAGCGACCTGACCAGCCCTGCCCCAGTTGGAAGGAAAGTACGACCGAACTGGACTTCTCTCAGCACCCGGCCGTGGCTTCCGGCTCTGTGGCCGCTATCATTGCCCGAACAGCATCTGGGCTGAGAGTGACCAAATAACATGTCACATGCCAGTGCACCGTTATGCACCAGCCGTATGTGCTGTGCTACCATGCACATCCATGCACTCTGTCACCATAGAATGGATGAAATCCAGAAACGGTAGAAATCCATTTGGCACAAGGAGTTAGCTTGTCCATCAGGGGTGGAGGATTCTTTCCTTACACATGTTGTTTCTCCAAGCCTTGTGGATGTCGGGTCTTGGATCGCACAGTTAGTACGTCAGTGGTCTCCTGATCTGGAAAAGAGCCTGCTCTGTCTTTGCAGAGCTGCTTTTGTCGCGAAACGAACGCGTTCGGAGTCCTTGGTTTCGTTCGTCAAGGTCCTGACTCCGAGGCTACAACGATTGAACTTGTCCGGCTGCCCCTCGGCGAGCGAAACGAACGTCTGGGAACCTCTCGAAACCTCTGGACTGGCTCGTGGCTCGTATTCAGCTGCGTTGAAGAAAACAAAGACCGAGCTTTGCTAATGCGATTGCTCCTTTCCGTCCTTAGTGCCAAGACTGTTTGGTTTGCGAGTCCAACAACGTCCAAAGGTAGAAAACATGTTGAAGATTGTTGAAACAGTTGTTCGAACATATTCAATCCATGTGCCCGGCTGCGCTAGCCGCTAGCTCTTCATTTCCAGAGCTAAGGCTTTAAGGCCTTGTATTAGCCTTCTGGGAAGCGTGAGGGGGGATTTGTTCGAAAGACATCGAGACCATGCGACAAGAAAAGCCGACGCCCAAAACCATCTAAGACTCCGCTGTAATGTGCTGTAATTCCGAGCGTTCTGAGGCAACCTCACCAGCAAATCCCATGTGCATCCCTTGACTCCCGTGGCGGGTGGATCTGGTGGCATTGGCTGCAACGGCGGCTGCGACTGCCGGACCTTCGAGGCACCAACCGACGCGGCTGCGATAGCCTGGTATGTTGAGGATGTACCTAGTAGCGTCCGATCGCTCCGTTCGTAGCAATGCCCTTTGCTCCTAGTAGCTTCTTGCTCCTGGGCCTATTTGAGGATGTTGACTTCTGAAGTTGAGCTCCTTCGTTTAGATCTAGTTTTAGCCTAGTTTAGCCTGCTGGATGTGCAAGGATCCCCCATGCAATTGCATGCTGATAGGTAGTTACCAGTTGCCAGGTAGCTCTTCTTTTCACTGTGTGGCAGCTCATATCATTGGGGTTGACTCGACCGAGCGCACTTGCGCCTACCTGTGCCTCAGGGCACCAATGCCTACAAGCACTGCGCAGACTGCGACCTGGACTTTTGTTCAACGTGCTGCATGTCAGAGTGCCCGATGATACTTGGAAGGAAAGTTCCAAGAGTAGCGGGAGACACGCATCTATTCAAGGCAGGTTTCGTTTTGGCCCCCTGGTTGTCCAAAATAGGGGGATGCTCACTTCCTTCTTGCAATTGAAGTTGCTAATGATCTTTTGGCAAAGTCCTCGTGCAAACCAGCAACTTCCAAGCGACAGGAAAAGCATGCGCGTGACGGCGTGAAGGGTCAATTCGCTGGAATATGGTGAAGAGTTTACCTTTTTTTTTCTGCCCTTGCAAAAACATGAAGCGGATACAGCAACAACACTTGTCACACGCCAAGGATCTCCTTGGCAGAATCCCTGCAGCGCTTGCCACACCTGGTCTCGTTGAAGCTCTCAGACGTGTCCTTCCAAGGTGCCGTGAGGGCCGTGCTTGAACTTGCCAGACATGCAGAAGCCATGCAGAAGCAAGCGCCTGCCTTTTTTTTCAAGACCTGATGTTGCCGTTGCCCTGTAATGCATCACATAATGCCTTGTCATGCCATATCCATTTATACATGGAGCTCTTGGCTCTTGTGTTCAATGACATGATATGACATGCCGAGGTGGCAAAATGGGGCCCGTCCGCTCCCACTTGGATATCGAGCCTTTTTGTGCAAGATCTCGGGTGACAGGCGTTCTTGAATGCAAATACTTGGCTCAAGCTGACAGATGTTTGTTCTTCAAGCATTCTTGGTTCTTTAGACTTTAGACTTGACTATTGATTTCATTTTTCTTCACCTGTTTCTTTAGCCTTTGTTTGCGGGATACCTATCAAAAAGAAAATTAATTCCTATCAAAAAGAAACTTGATTCCTATCAAAAAAAACATTAATTCGTATCAAAAAAATTTTTTCCCTACTCCTTTGGTCCTGGTCTGCTGGTTCCCTGGTCGCTTGGTCCTTTGGTCCCTTTTGTCCTGGTCCCTTGGTCCTCTGGTCCCTTGGTCCTCTGGTCCCTCTGGTCCTCTGGTCCCTTGGTCCTCTGGTCCCTTGGTCCTCTGGTCCTTCGCGTTAAAGGTGATTTGGAAATCTGGTCATACATCCTGTGAAGCACCGTAGCAGACCTTTTATCGCCAGACGTAGCGCACCTTTTTTGTGAGCCACCCTGACGGTAAAATTTAGACGAAGAAAGTGCCATTCCAAGGTAGCAAACCTTTTGTGAGCCACCTGAGGGCAAAATTTTGAAGAGGAAGGCGCCATTCCAACGTTGCAGACCTTTTGTTAGCCTTGCGAGGTTAAAACTTAGAGGAAGAAGTTGCCATTCCAACGTAGCAGGAGGAAGTTGCCATTCCAACGTAGCAGGCCTGTGTTTTGTGAGCAACCCGAGGGTAGAACTTGCTATTCCAACGTAGCAGACCTTTTGTGAGCCACCCGGGGTTAAACTTTAGGTGCCACGCCAAGGTAGCAGACCTTTTGTGAGCAACATTTAGAGGAGCAGTAGACCTTTTGTGAGCCATGCGAGGTCAAAGTTTACAGGAGCAGACCTGTTGTCAGCATAAACTTTAGAGGAGGAAGGTGCCATTCCAACATAGAGCCATCCACAGGTCTTGTGGTTTTGTGAGCCATCGTGAAATTCAGACAGATCACGGTTGAGATGCAGAGAGGTCTACATCTACAAAGATCCAGGGGCCTGGAGACCCAGACGGATCTGCAGGTGTAGAGGTCTAGAAACCCACAGACCTAAAGATGGAGGTTTAGATGTCTTGAGTCTTGAGATCCAGGGAGGTGTTGAAATCTAAGTTCTATACTTGCAGAGGGTGTAGAAAGATGTTCAGATCCAGAGATATCAAGAGCTCTTTTCACAGGTCTTCAGATCCACAGAATTTTACAAATGCCACGCAAGCTGCACTACAAGGTTCGCAATCGCTGCGCTTGCCACGAAGTCTGCGCTTATAGACGGAGGTTCACGCAATCTGCACTTCGAGGTTCACGAAGTGCTGCGCCGGCCATGAAATCTGCAGTTCCAGTGCGCAAGTGCTGCCTGCCACGAGCCTTGCAACTGAAGGTGCTCAAAGTGCTGCGTGCAAAGTGCCGCTCCTGCCACGAAACCTGCTACTGGAGGTGCTCAAAGTGCTGCGCCTGCCACGAAATAAATCTGCAGCTCCAGTGCACAAAGTGCCGCTCCTGCCACGAAATCTGCTACTAGAGGTGATCAAAGTGCTGCGCAGGCCACGAAATGTGCAGTTCCAGTGCACAAAGTGCTGCTCCTGCCACGAAATCTGCCACTGGAGATGCTCAAAGTGCTGCGCGCGCCACGAAATCTGCACATCCAGATTCACATCGCGCAGCGCTGCCAAGGCGGTTTGCAGTGGCAGGCGCAGCTCTTTGTGAGAGATATTTTGTTTTTGATACAAAACAACTTTCTTTTTGATAGGATATAGTTTTTTTTGATATATATTAATTTTCTTTTTGATAGCCCGGCCTTTGTTTGCATCGTTTTCTTCTTCACTTGTTTCTTTACGCCTAGGATCTATAAGACCGTAGAATACCGTAGTGCGCCTATTTCAAAGGCACCTTCCGGCACCTGAGGAAGGATACCGAGTTCTGGGACAGGCCTTGAGGGAACATCCCAACATTATCGACCTCGATCTCGGCAAGAACTATTTTCATGGCCAGGGGCGCCTGGAGGGGCCAAACGAGGGGCCCAACCGGAAGTGCGGAAGGGCCCATGGTATGGTAACCATGTGAGACGACACATGTGTTCAGTACGAGGTTGGCGGGTGCCACAGCTTGTGGGATTCTACATGAGATCCAGTTGGATTGGAGTTCTTTTCGGCAGTCCCCAAGGAATGTCCTCCAAAAACGCTCCAAGATTGATCAACTACTTGTATATATATATATATATATAGGATGTTTCCCAGCCAAACTCGGTGCCGGCTTCACTGGATAGAAGAGAACAGGTCGATGCTTTGACCATAATAATAATAGTGCCCTAGTTAAGATGCCATAAATCTGCAATGAGTTTCATCAGTCTACACTAGGTAGATATAGTGCACGCATGTGCACGCCTTCTCTCTATGCTTGACCAGAGTGTCCGATGCCTGTGGTCTTAGCTTTGCATTGTCATGGTCTTCAGGCCAAGGATTTCCTTACTTACTGCAAGGAGTCGTCGAGATGAAGGCCGGCACTACTTGACAACCAGCAAAACAACAGTTTACCTGGCCTTTGTTTTTTGTATGTTTGTTCTTACCGTTTGTTTTTGGTCTTTTTTTTCCGAGACCTTCAGGCCTTTCCTTTTTCCTTAGCCTTTTCTTCAGGTTCTTGCCTTCAGAAAGAAGATCACAGTGACATGTTGGGGTCCGTGTGAGCAAAAAGTGTTCCTTTGGAGGCCACACAACTGCTGTAGATGTTTGTGGTTTTGTTTATCAAGGAGTTCCAAGATTACAAGCATTGATGTCAAAAGTCAAGAGACTTTGTGACTTCCACACTGCCAGGCTTTGCAGACCATCACCCTGGGCTCAACTCCTTTATGTTTCTGTGTTCAATGGACGTTTGACAAAACGCTGGCAGAAAACTGGCGTTGTCCTGGAACAGATTCGCCAACTAAATGCAAGGCAGCCATGTTGCAATCTTTTTTTCAGTGCAACACTCAGATGATTGGTCTGACGACTACCTTGCGGAAGCAATTCAACTGGCATATCAATACCGGTTCAAGCCTTTGGCCTGTCTAGGGTTGTCAGACATGTCCAGACTGACAATCAGGTACCGAGTCAGAATGATGTTGTTCGATAAATGTGATGTTCAAAAACCATCATTTCGACATAAATCGCTTGACAGTTTCTTCGGTCACCCAGTCTCTAATTACATGGTTGCATGCCTAGAATCCGTTGCGGAGCCCGTCATCTGAGGCTTCAGGGAGTTGCTCAGCTCAGAGGTGCTTGAGGCACCCACAGCGAAGCTGCCCAAATATGTAAACACGATGTTTGGTCTGAGCGTCTCACAACACCATCATTCTGTGCATCTTTGCCACAGCCGTCACATAAATCATTTGGCTCTCGGTTCTTTCAAGTCGCCATGAGTCCCGCCATGTCAGGTGTCTGACACCTGGTTGCCCGTGGAAGTGCTGTTGCTTTGCTGCGTTTCAGCCGGACTTGTTCGTTTGAGCTCGGCTCTTGTCATGTTTACAACAGGCTTAGCAATGGAAGATGATCGAGACATTTGCTTCTAGAGTGCTGGTTGAACGTCAGTGCACATTTAAGCATGCTGGCACACAGCTGCAAGATTTATCAAATTGCATGGCCAAATCTGTCGGCCCCAGGCTGCTCTGCATGGCCATTCGCAAGAATCACCAGCTTCGGCAGTTGCACCTCCCTAAAGCCCTCGGCCCCAGCCGGGCCCCAGCGGGCCCCAGCGTTTGAGTCCTGTTTCGAGTCACTGAGCGTGCTGTTTCGCCCGATCGGGAGCAATAGAACAACGGGCCAGTTCGCAAAACGACGAGGATATACAAACGGAATTTCACACGTTCGCCAGTCTCCCAAATCACGTGAACGACTTTCCGTTCACCTCTTCCGACTGGAAACGACTGTGAAACCTTTTAAGGCGCATAGCGATTTGAAGATCGACGTAGTCAGATCTTTGGTCGACAGTTTCTTGGATCGACGGATGTCTTACTACTAGGAGCTTTACTAGGAGCAAGGAAGCTACTAGGAACAAGTGCATCTAGTAACAAGTGCCTTACTACTAGTAACAAGAAGCTACCAGGGGCTTTTTGCATCGCTACTAGGAGCAAGGAAGCTACGAACGGGGCTCAGAGAGGTTTGAGTCGGGTCACTCGTGGAATTCTCGCATCTCTGAAGCGACGAGTTCTCCTCCAAGCCCAAGCCCAGATGCTTGTTACTAGTAGTTACTAGTAGCGTGGCACTTGTTACTAGTAGCGTGGCACTTGTTTCTAATAGCAAACATTGTTACTACTAGTAAGGCACCTGTTACTACTAGCGTGGCACCTGTTACTTAAGCCTGGGTTTGGAGTGGAATTCAGGTTTTGATTTCATCCTTCAGCATCGAGCCCTCACCACTGAGCTCCAAGAACTGCAGAACCATGTGGCACAAGTGACAGCACAAAGACGAACTCATTTCCAAGTACAGCTTATATAGACTTGTCTATATAAAGGTGTCGAAAGGTCTGAAAAACATGCGAAAGGTCTGAAAATGGACCGAAATTCGGAAAGACGCTTTGCTGGTCCAATTTCTATTACAAGAAAACGTGTGGTTCTGCCGACTTCACATCTGAGGCCTCAGAGAGTTGCAGCTCCACTGTGAGCCATTAGCACCTGGGATCCAAAGAATCTGTCGACAGCTGGAGGAATTCTGTAAGACAGTTTTTCTTGAAGAATAGCGGCGGTAGCCGGTTGTATGCATGTTTTGAGTCTAAAACATTTGGTGTTTGTAATTATGTGTGCAACATTGAAGCAACTCACTACTCAGTACTGAGAGTCGGGGCGCCTGTGGCCACAGCTTTGGTAAATTCGGGCCCTTTTGGTGAAGAGATGAAGAATCCTCTCCCTATGCTGCTGATAAGAAGGAAGAAATGAACAAGTCATAAAAAGGTCAAACAAAGATGCGCAAGGCCCAGAATGTTATCATCGCTTTGATTTGCAGCTGAGGAGCTGTTGGCCATCTCAAACTTGCAGCTTCACTTGAAATCCTTGGCAGAATCTTGATTTCAATTGGTTGTGGTTGACAACTAGATGTCCAAACCTGTATGGAGTTATGGGCTGTGACACATCCGGGACGAGAAACTCTCAGCCCACAGGCTCAGTTCATGGGCTGAGACAGTGCTCAGCTTCCCCGCCAAGGCCTCCTTCGATGGCATCACACAAGTTGCTGCAACGAAAGTAAAGCAAACCCACAGGAAACAGGGCTAGTTCAACGAGGAGTGCATCTCAATATTATGGCGAGAACGTGATCGTGTTGGCAAACTACTGGAAATTCCAAACATTTTCCAACCACAGTTCAAAAGGACTCAGGACTGTGTACCATGATGTGTCAGCACCTGGTGAGGGCATTCCATCCCCCCTTCACCGATGAAGAAGCTGCCACAATATTGCTCATTCCCAATCCTCAATCAGTTCCACTGGAGGCAGAGGTGAAACATTGGCCAGTTTGGGTGTACGTGTTAAATATTTAGGGAATTGTCGCTCCTATAGGCATCCTTTTTTTTGTGGAGCTGAACCAGCTGAACTGGTTCTTCCCACAGCTGCTTTGCTAAGGATGGCTCCATTGATTCGTTGGACTTGAGCTGCTCTCAAAGAATCAATCGCTCCGCTCTCGCACCGTTGCCTCCCAGCAGCATGTGTGTGAAATCGTAGTGGGCTCCTTGATGACCCCAACTGTGCACAATGCTGAAATGTGCTGAATGTATATTGCTACTACTAGCAATGCACCTGTTACTAGTAGCTTCTTGCTACTACAAGTAATGCTCTTAGCTATTGGTCGCTTCTTGCTACTACTAGTAATGAATGTATATTTTAGCATCCCTCCTGCCAGACTTAGACACCCCTTGTGGTTCATAATGTCTCCCAGATTAGTGTGCCCCACCGCCCGTGCTTCCAGAGTTTGCTCAGACAAGTGCTTTGTCTAAGGATGGTCTTCATTTTAGAGCATAGCAGCCGCTCGGCCGACGTTCGAACCGAGACTTAGCAGTGACAAGGACGCTACTAGGGGCTCCTGGCATCGCTACTAGGAGCAATGTTCGCTAGTAGGAGCAATGGCCTCCAGCCTAAGAGCGATGGCCCTACTATAGCGGATCTAGGAGCTAGTAAGAGCAATAGTCCTCATGAATCACCAAAAACGGCACTCCATATTATATCGCTCATTCTCACTCCACAAATCTTCTCACCCCCAAGAAAGCTTTCATCCCTCCACTGCCATGGTGTCCGGCTGGTCCCAACTTGGGGCCCCTGTTGGTGCTTTGACGAGCGAGGTGGCTTGACGAGCGTGGATTTTCGGCAGAACGACTTCGGCCTCGAAGTCGAGCACCTGGTGGATGCCGTGCTCAGCCTGGAGAAGCGAGGCCTGAAAGGACTGCAACAAACTAGTAGCCATCGCTACCAGTAGCAAGAAGCTACTAGGCTAATTACTAGGGTGGAGGCCATTCAAGGTGAAGGTCGCTGCGCATTGGAGTGATGTGAAATACTGTATGTGTATAAATGTGTGTGTGTGTGTGTTTGCGTGCGCCTGATGCGCGCCAACATATCAATTACTGTAATCAATGTGCAAGTTTCGCTTCCGAAGCGTCCGGCTGCTTCGCCGGACAGCCTCGATAGACTGATAGAGCTCCTGCTGCTGTAATGCTTGCTCAAGACTCTGAGCCATCCTCGACCAATTGTTTGTGTTTCCCCTGAATGGGTGCCAACATGATGGGGCTCGTCATAGACAGGTTGAAAGGAAGAGATAGAATGATACAAGAAAGTCTCCATGATGTTGTTTCGAGGTGTTCTCGTGTGAGGTTTGCGCTTCTACAATGGCATTCCCCTCCAGGGCACGGCTGAGGTGTTTCTTTGCTGATTTTCCGTGGGGTGGCCACTTCATTCAACCTGCAAAGCATTGGTTCAATGAATGACAATGAGACTGACAATGAGTAGTTTAGTTGTTGCTTTGCAAAACGCCGGCGACAGAATTTCCACGGCACTTCCAGACTCTTTTGTGTTGTGTCATGGTGTCGATGGCACGACAGATGCTGGAATCAGAGGAACACTTGTGTGATGACCCTTGCCCTAGCTCGTTGCAACATGTGTCAACGTTTGCAAGTGCATTTGCACAAATTTGCATCTGTGCCGAGCTTAGGTTCAGTATGGAAGGGAGACAGGTGATGCCACATGGTACCTGCGCCCGGGCTCTCAGAAAGTAAGCAAATCCGCCAATGCCTCGAGAAAGAAGACATGATTACATTTACATACATTTACAACTTATATCTACGGGGTGAACCCAGAGCCTGGTTGGGGAGAGCGGAAAAAGGAGGCGGTCAGGAAGGTAGTGAACATGTATGTTTTGGATTGTTTTGCTGGTTTTGGTGATGCGAGTGGTGCAAATAATGCTGAAGCATCATTGGCATCACTAAGTGTTCAGGAGACTATTTAAACTGTCTATTTAGGGGTGGGGGGTTTGGATAGAACTCAAAGAAGTGCTGAGGAGACTATTTACACCGTATTGCTTGGAGGACAGAAAAGGGGAGAGTGTGCAATGTGCAAGCCCACACTGAGGGAACCCATCCAGTTAGAGGACAGAAGCGGCGAGACTGTGCTAATTGCCGGCTTAATCTTTACAACTGCGTCTTGATTCAGGGGAGTCGGAAATTTGTACAAATCGAAGTCTATCCTATGACAGGCAATGACGGATGGGAGTTGATCTAGGCATTGTGTATATAGGCTCTACCATATCGAGCCTCAATGCGAAACTGCGTCTCTCAACCTTTGGTTTTCTCGTCTATCCTATGGCCCTTTTTCAGCTTGAAAACGTCCCTGAACCAAAAGAATAAGGTACCCCCCTCCTACCGCATGGGCTCCATTTCTATCCAATAATCGCCAACAGTGAATGGGCCTTGATCAAGACCTTGTGTATGAGATATCGGCCCTCAATGCGAGACTTTGTGCCTCTCTGCCTTCTATTTCACCATGCCGACAGCAGTTGAAGTGCGCCGTCGAACTCACCCCATAACCATGGAGGCTGGCTTTCGTCCCCTCCTTTCTCAGGCTTGCATTCTATTGCTCGGCAGTGATCAGGTCTTCGCCAGCAGCTTTCTGCCGAGACAAACTGGTCTTCGTCACTTGGACTTGCAACGCTGCGGCTTGGATGCCCGCGCCTTGAGTGCCCCTCGGCGGTGTTTGGAGTGCCGAGACCTCCGCGCTGAGACCTGATGAGGCGAGTCCCACCTACTAGCGATGGCCTCCAACCTAAGAGTTGACGTCAACACAAGTTGACAGTGAGGCCGTTCTGATGACGGTGTTGCAGATCCAAAGTGCTGCTTAGTAGCATATATGGTCATGAGCCTCATGGGACGCGCAAGTGGCAAGCTGCCTTAGATGGACCATACAGAGGTTGGACCGAGGTTGGACCATACAGAGGTTGGCACTTCTGGCGTTATTTGACGATCTGTGATGCGTCAAATCATGTCAGTTTCTATTCTGTTTTTTTTTGGCTTGGAGCAATGGCTTAGGTGACCTTCCTAGATATCTCTGGGCAGCCACTGAAGAAGGCAGGTGAGATCAGAGAGAGAGATTGGTGAGATGGTGTTTGATGGTGCGTGGAATGACCTTGAAGGAAGCAAAGGAAGAATAAGAAGTTTCCAGGAAGGTTTGAGCCAGCTTGAGCCAACACAGTTTGGAATTGACCCGGCCTCCTTTGTCCAAGCACAAGCCAAGAGAAAAGCTTGCACCTTTTGTGTTGAGAACCGTTGTGTTACTCGAGCTCCGGCAGCCAGCCACACTGGTTCAGTGCTTGGAAGGCCGGCATGGAGCACCTGGCATCTTTCCTTCGACAAGATAAGAAGCTTCAAACACTTCGAGCACAGAACATCCAGACGCCATCCTACTACACAGCGGAGACTTGGAAAATCGTTTCCGAAACACCTGATGAGTCATCTAAGTCGAAGTATGCCAGAGTCATTCATGTGCAAAGTCATTCATCAGACTGAAGATTCAAGTACTCGTAGCTGGGTGAGGCTGAACAAGTCGCATTCAGCCGCATTTTTTTGGGGAATGCGGATCATCCCATCATGCACTCGCAGATGCTTTGGACTTGCATGGAATGTACGAGTGCTCATTCAACTACATCATGTTACATATAATAGAGCGTTTAAAGACTCAGTGACTGTAAATGTATGTAAATGTTGTTTCATGTTTTTGTTCTCATTTGTTCTCCACAGGTGTGCCACATGCTTTCCGCCCAGTGCGGTGTCGGTGCTGAGGAGATGCTCGACTTCACCAAGGCCATGGAGGTGAATAGTGCCATGCCTTGTGTCAGAGGATGTCGTAGGATGTCATGGGCGTGTAGTCTTCAGTCAGCTAAGACCAAGAGGTGGAAGAATCAGCAGGGCCATGCAGTTCCTGGCGTTGCGCCATTCAGCATGACCTCCTTCGCAAGACATGTCCTCACACCAGCGAAGAAACAGAAAATACCTGCTCCCAAACGCAACGTAGGAGTCGACATTCGCCCTGCCAAGACCCCTTGACATACATCAGGTATCGAACAATAATATCACGATATGACAAGGTTCAAGTCGACAGAACAAACAGCGCAATCAAAAAGATATATACTGTATCCTTACTTGTTGAAATCATAGGGTGTTCATCTCATGGTCAAGTTGTGCAAGCACATATGTATGGCAAACCTTTGTCACCTTTGTCCCATGTCAAAAGGCAACAACATTGGAACTGCTCAGAGGAGCATTCGTGAGCAACTAGTAACAAGGGCATTACTACCAGTAACAAGAAGCTACTAGGAACAAGTGCATCGCTACTAGTAACAAGTGCCTTACTATCAGTAACAAGAATGCTACTAGTAGCTCCTGGCGCTACTAGGAACAAGCTGGACCCGGCTGGACCGATCTATCTGACAGGGGCAGCCGGCAGGCCATGACTTTTTCCTTTGAGACTCTCACCCTCTTGAACATCCGACAAACTAAGCTTCAAAGCGACTCACCACTCTCTCTCTCTCTCTATCTATCTATCTATCTATCTGTTATCTATCTATATTAATATCGATACTTCGGAAAAAAGAGCGTCAATGTACCACGAACACACTGTATTGCAAGTTCGGGTTGTGCAGTTCGAGGATGAGGATCGGCTTTCTGTAAAAAAGTCCTGCTCCTCATTAGAATCCGCGACATAGGAGTCGTTGACACTTGCTAGCACCATCAATCAAAAGAAGCAAGATGTCCCACCTGTCATGGTCAGAGTTTTTTCTCAAACTCTTCTGCACTCTGCTGGCTCCTATGGCAGGACTCATCTATGGTTTAATGGGGATCTCAGGGTCTCGGTCTAAGGAGTTGCAACGAATGTTGCAAAGACATGCTATTTTAGTACGCCTTGGCAATGCAAGTTCTTGAAGCCCCACCTCAAGAAACGTGTTCATGAACACGGAACCTTGATGATACGATATAGGACGTGGAGTAGGATGCGGTAGGAAGCCTTTCTGGCGAAGGGGAAGCCCTTTTGGTGCCCCCGTGCGATATGTTGAGATCCCTTGATGCAATCCCAAGCGAAAGAAGGCGTTCTCTGAGAGGCGCGGAACCCGTCCACCTCTTGGTGACACTCACGAGGCAAGTTGGAATGCCGGGTGCTGCAAGGCAACTGAACAAGAATCAGCACACAGGAACCGATTAAAGTATAAGCATCTATAAGCAATGCTGGGGTTGTTTGGTGGCAAAACATGGGAAAGGGATTGTTTGTCGTTTACGTCGATGAAGACTTGGGAAGTTTCCGAGGCACCTTGGCCACTTTGGACTTGCGTGGCAACTCGCTGCACTCCGGCATCGTTTCGCGCCTGCAGCGAACCATGGAGGAGAAGCGTTACTGGGACCAGTTCAGTGGGCTTCGGTGATGTGTCACCTTTGGCCTCTAAAGAACCTGAGGGTTGAGAAGACCAATGAAAAACGAAAGCTAAAGGAAACTGTAAAGTTCTTCAAGCAGCCCAGGCATCACATGTGCATTGTTTGAGTTGTTTCAATAGAGGGGTGTACGCCAACAGGCTTACCGAGAGACCAGAGACCGTCCATGGCATCCCATTGGCTTCATTCTTGCTCCTAGTAGCGTCTTTGTTCCTAGTAGCGGTGCCAGGAGCCCGTAGTAGCGTTCTTGCTCCTGATAGTAAGGCCAGGAGCCGCTAGTAGCTTCTTGTTCCTAGTGGCGATGCCCTTCTGAGGCAGTGTGGTCCCTTTGCCATTTGACGCCAAGATTTGCTTTTTGCTGTGCAATCGCCGCTTGCCGTACCATCTGCAGCTACCCGAGGTAGCGCAGGCTCAAGGGTGGAAGAGATGTTTTTAAGAGTCCTTCCCATGGTCGAAACCGCTCCATAGATGTGATTGTATATAGCTTCCTGGTTTTCGCTGTGTGCCTTTGATGCTGTGATTTCAGCCACATTCAGTCTTTTGAAAAGGCATGGCTTTGCATTCGTCACGTCACTGTAATGCATGGAAGCATCGCACTGTCTCTTTTTTTCTTCAGACCTTTCCCTCTCCCATTCTGTTGCTGGCTTTTGCCAAGTGTTCCTCTTCTACTCCGAAGCAGTGCAGGTTTATGAGGTGAGCCGGCTCTTCACGGGCGGCGTCTATTCGCCACTCTTCATGCAGCAGCCCTAGTTGACAAAAAGGCGAGCGACGAAGGGAGACTCGAAGGGGGAACTACTAGCGATGGCCTCCAACCTACCCCGAAGAAAAACACGAAGGGAGACCCACCCAGTCGGATGCTACTGGAGGCTCTCTTCGGAGGGTGCTCCGTTCCAGGCACAGGAAAGCCATCATCCTGGCCCGGCCGAGTCGTTATTTTTGAATTTTCTGTATTTTTTGGTTACCTCTGGGGCTCTATCCGAAGCTTCCCTTCGGGCAGTTAGCAGAAAGATTTACAGAGTCACAATATATGAGGTTTCGAGAGAAGGTCTTTTGCCATGTTTTGCATATAGCTGTGAAAGAAGGCAGTCTTGCATGTCAGTGCTTGACGTGATGTGGAGAGTTATATAAAGTTTTCGGGTTCCTCCTGCCATCTCTAGTAGCTTGGAGGTCATCGCTTCTAAGTTGGAGGCCATCGCCATTAGAAACACAGAAGCACGAAAAGGCAGAAAGGTCTAATACAGTCAGTTTGCTAGCAAGTTGGAGGCCATTGCTAGTAGGTTGGAGGCCATTGCTCTTTGGACAAGGCAGGAAGGTCTACTATAGTTTGCTATCTCGGCTTCCTGAGGATCTTCCAGTTCTGTGGGCAGCCCCGGACGCTTCTGCTGGATGAGGTGCAGGATGAGCCAATGGAGCCTGCAGGCCCGGCTGCGCCTACTGAATTCTGGTGGAGATTTCAGCAGATATCAGTGGAATGTGTACTCTAAAGAAGTAAATCACAGTGAAATCTCCTTGCGAGGCGGATTTTCTTGCTTTTTGTGTCATTCCTTTGGGTGCCCCTCCTGCGAGTAAATCCTATAGTGTTTGGTTCGGACTGGCCTACTATTCTCGCTCGAAACTGGGTTCAAATGACGAAACCTGTTTGAATCAATACCATTTTGTCGTTTTGAACGCAGTGGCGATTCAATCCACCCTGCAGACACTGCCTGGCGGCCATGGAATCGGTTGCACATCGACCATCAGAACATGGGTCCCACTGTCGCTTTCACGGTGGGCCAGGCTGGGAGGCTTCACAGCATGTTTCTCCAACTGGTTTCTCAGATTAGAAGGACAGAAAGGTGTTTGCTAGGCCATGGCTAGTAGGTTGGATGCCATTGCTAGTAGTTGAGGCCATTGCTAGTAGGTTGGAGGCCATCGCTAGTACGTTGGAGGCCATTCCTAGTAGGTTGGAGGCCATCGCTAGTAGGTTGGAGGCCATTCCTAGTAGGTTGGACCATTGCTAGTAGATTGGAGGCCATTGCTAGTAGGTTGGAGGCCATTGCTAGTAGATTGGAGGCCATCGCTGGTAGGTTGGAGGCCATTGCTAGTAGGTTGGAGGCCATTGCTAGTAGGTTGGAGGCCATGGCTAGTAGGTTGGAGGCCATTCCTAGTAGGTTGGAGGCCATGGCTAGTAGGAGGCCATGGCTAGTAGGTTGGAGGCCATCGCTAGTAGGTTCATCGCTTTTAGGTTGGAGGCCATCGCTGTTAAGTTGGAGTCCATCGCTATTAGGTTGGAGGCCATCGCTAGTAATTAGGTTGGGGGGCCATTGCTATTTGATCTAAAGAACAAGCGGCTTTTCGGATTTGGATCTTCGTCGCTTTTGTCAATCCAGGTCCGGCGAGGACGCAGGGCCCCTAGCTGGGTGAGGGATGAGGCTATGATTCTGAGCCTTAGACGATGCACGACGATGAAGGTGTTGCACGTTTCAGAGCGCTCATCGCTCCATTAAGCTGTTTCGAACGAGATCACGAGATGCCAGGATTTGGGAGGAGATGCCCCTTTAATTTGAGAGATTTGCTGAAAGGAGTTCTCGGGGGGTCCGTGGTATTCCTGACAGGATTTTACAAACACTGAAGAAACTCAATGAAGTTCAGGGAGGAGCCTTCTATGCAGAAACGATTGATTGACGCAACTGTTTTTTGCTCCAAAACTTTTAGCTAGTCAAACACTAAGAACTCTCCAAGATGAGAAATTCCTTTGAGGGAAATGACACGATCACTTCACGATCATGCGTTTGGCTGATTCACCTTTCCTTTCTGACCGGTGTGGGCACATTTGTTCAACCATCGAGATGCTGGGCAACAAAGTGGAAGCAGCTGGCCAATGTCCACAAAAACCACAGAAACCAAACGTAAATCAATGGGCTAAGAGAGCCTGGTACTATATATTTGAGAAGCAAATTCATTAGAAAGGCTACACGTTGAAGATGCAAGAGTTCAATCCAAATGTTTTCGATCTTCTGTGTATAGGTGTGATTGTCACATTGATTCAGTTTTTGGGGCAGACCTTGAGTATCCTTGAGTTCCCTGTCGCCCAGCATGGCAGCTATGGCCACTTCCTTCTATTGTGTGCTTGACGTGAAGACAGATGCCACCACTGATGAGATAAAACTCGCATTCAAGCGACGCGCTTTGCAGGTTCATCCGGACAAAGGCGAGATCCATTACCCCATCAGATTGTTCAATCTCCTCTAACTAATAGCTTCTTGCTCCTAGTAGTAAGGCCAGGAGCTACTAGTAGCGTCCTTGCTTCTAGTAGCGATGCCAGGAGCTCCTAGTAGTTTCTTGATACTAATGGCGATGGCCTCCAACTAGCATCTTGTGGCATTTTGTAGCTTATTAGATGTTCGATCAGAGTGAGAGTGGTGTTGTCGGGATCACTGGCTTGATGCGGTTTGACGTGGAGTTGGCCTACTCTCCAAGCGTAGGCTCTCTTTGGACATACCTGGTCCCGCACATTTGATATCCTTTTAATAAGAACTAATTCGAATGTGATCCGTGAAAGACGTTTCTGTTTTTATCGAATGTGGTTCAGACCACCATGTTTCGATATGCAGGTGGAAGCAAAGAAGCATTTCATTCAGTCTACCAAGCCTTTGAGACTTTGGCTGACCCAGATGCCCGCAAACGATATGACAACCAGCTTCCTACACCCAAGTTGCCAAAGCAGAAGAGGCGGCATGCAAAAAAGGATGCCAAGACTACGGAGGCTGAGCATTCTAGGCCTCAGCGCAAGCATTCTGCAAGTCAGAAGTCAGACAATATGCAGTCTGCACCAAGCTACTCGCATGACAAACTGCTAGTGAAGCTCTATCGGCTTTTGAAAGGACTACCCCAAGAGGTTCGCAACATGCTCATCCAGAAGGAATTCTCGCAGAAGCAGCGTGTGCTTCTGGAGAAGTGGATTGTGCTTCAGCGTGCCGCCGACGCAGAGACACACGAGACACCAGTTTCCGAGCCTGCTTCAACTGGTCCATTGCAGGCTTCAGAGCCTATCTTTTGCAAGAAAAGCTCGGCATCTTTGACAGACACACCGTGTGATGTCACATCAGATGGCGCATCCAAAAGCTTGAGCTTGATTTCAGCAGCACCATACCCGAAGACTTTTCGCAAAAAGAAGAAGAGAGTTGACATGAGGGGTATTCTGTCTGGGCGACGTACTTCTGAGGCGAATCGCGTCTACAGAGCCAATGTGAGTATTGACAACATTGCCATATATACTCGTGAGTGCGATTTGCCAACAGCTGTCGAGTTCTTAGTAATCCTTACATCTTTCAAGCAGAATATGCAGGGTGCCTCACAGGATGCTGACACCACTTTCGAGACACTTTTCCGAGACACGCTGCAGTCAGCATTTGTCGAGCATGGAAGGCAGGGTGTGGGAATAAATGGGCAGCATGCAATCAGGAACCTTGTTCCTTCCAATGTATTATAGCAAATTCACGGAACTTGTTGGTTTTTCTTTATGGAGCATTCAAGTGCTACTTGTAGGAGTCTTGAACCCCAAAACCAGCGCCTCTCGACTTCTGTTGGGTATTTTGCAGATTGTCAATGGTCAATGTTTGGCTAAGTCGAGGGTCATGCCATGTTGCACGCGGCATCAATTTTCAAGCATGTGCAGCGTAGCGGTTGTTGATTCAACTGATGGTATCAAAAAGCAAAACTAGTAGAGCCATGAGGCCCACCCTGGCAGGAGCTATGAAGATTTGAGTCCTCGATTTATAGTTCGTCCCAAATTTGGTTTCTTTTTGGGATCAGGGAACTCTGTCACGTCCCCCACCGTCCGCTCAATTGAAGAGCTGGCGAAGATGCGCAGATGCATGAATCCCTTTCGCGAATGTGTGAGGCTGTATGTCAGTCGAGGACCAGGGAGCATGGTTTGGCGTTATGGTCCTGTGGAGCTTGAAAATCTGTGGGATGGTATTCAGAATGCTGTCAAGGAGATGTGGGAAGGCACAGGGCAAGGTCGCAGCATGCTTCCATTGCGTAGGATGCGAGCACTGTACAACTCACATGCAGCTGTGCGGAATAGACATTTGCAGTACTGGGAGCGGCAGCACATGTGCATGCATGATTTGAATAGGCACAGGGCAGCTCGATTCAGTGTTCGTACACGTCATCCCCTACATGCAGTTCACACGGTGTGTTTGGTGCGAGCACTACTTCTCCGATGGACAAAGACTTTGAAGAGACAGGAACGGGTGGCGGAGATCCTTCAACGAAGATTGATGCGGCAGTGCAAAAAAAAGCTGGCGGAACGCCGGCACTTGGAACTTGCGAGGCGAAAACGTGCTAGGGAGGAGCAGCAGGCTGAACGCTTCAGAAGGCAAGCTCTTCGCAAACGGATGATGTCTGAAGTCACCATGGATGACATTCTGGGTAGCTTGGATTTGTTGAGAGATTTGGTTAATTGACCCGCAAGTTTGCCCAAAAAGGATTGTTTAAGACACTCTTTCAGGCACCTCTCCTTTTTTGTGTTTTGATTGCAGAGCTTTGGGCATGAAAATATCTCCAGCTGCTTCCCCACGTGGTCCTTCGTTCCATTTTCCCTCCCAGGCCCTCCCAGGAGCTCGGAGACGTGGTTTCACCAGCGCCCAAAAATGCCGGCGAAGTGCATTCTCTTGAGGTTTGGAAGTGCATTCTCTTCACCTACTAGCAATGGCCTCCAACCTCCTAGAGATGGCCTCCAACCTAATAGCGATGGCCTCCAACCTACCAGAGAGGCTTGGTAGACTCGTTTTGATGAAGATGTGCACTATGTACATCACTGTGCACTGACCATGGTTCACATCGTTCCTTGTCGGGAGTTTCAAGGTGATGCGGATTCAGATGTAAACAATGATAAACAATATACTTATACATAAGATCCAGGTACGTGAACATTAGCGGCATCATGTTGATGCTCCAATACACGGCAACAATGCCAATGCATGCCAATGCAATATTAAAATCCCTTCCCCCAAGCACTTTGATTTACTGTATATATAATATATACATACAATGTATAAGTGCATGATACCCTCAACTACTTAGGGTCTAGAATGGGTGTACCTTAGGGTATGAGGAGGCTGAGGTCTAACAATTCAATGTAGACCTCTGGAATGTAACTTTCAATGTAGAGAGAGAGAAACTGGAAGAGAGGTGTCCTTGTTTCTAGGACCTTTGAGTGATTTCCTGGGGAATGCGTCCCTCGTTTCTTCTTTTTTACCATGCTGTTGCTTTCTGTTACTTTCTTTTTGCAATGTTTCGCATCACGAGGGTCTGCAACAAAGGTAACATCTAGATGTGCAATAAGTCGCTTGGTGAGAAAAACACGTTAGACCGTGCTAATGTTGTACCCCCCATCTAACATGGTATACAAACTAGCTGTTCATGCTTTTTTTTTCATGTTATATAGACCCCTGATTTGGGGGTCTACTTTGAATACTGTCCCTTTGAAGTAGGTGCAGGTATAGTACATGTGTATAGTTGGTCGGAGGCCATCGCTATTAGGTCGGAGGCCCGCTAGTACATGTATACTCTATGGTGACTGTATGGTTTTGTTATCGGGTCGACGGAGTGACCATGAGAGACCCGAGTGGGACAGGATGCTTTGCATCAGGGGAATCCTTTGGTGTAAATCTTGTGGAAATTCACTGAAAGGTTCCCTTGAAACTCGTATCAATATCGTGACCAAGCATGAGTCAGGACTTGTATGCATTTCTTTTGATACCGATACTAAATCGCATGCAGTTTCCTTGAGAGTATTGAATTGTATTGAGAGGAAGCAACTTACAACGAGCGAAAGTTGTAAGGAGACATGTCAGCAATTCGAGTGAGATTTGTAGTAGGAAGCCGCCTTGAGAGGTAGTCCAATAGATTGTTGAGTGTTTCTGCGCCAGAGCTTTGGAGATGCTGCACTTGTAGGGCTGAGTTGGTTGGGAGTACAGCAGGCAGTAGGCATTTAGTCGCCAGATGAGTGGTAAAGCAACTTGCATGAGAGTTTCTAGACAGCTCTTCAGTGCCTTCATGAGGGTTCTGCGTTCAGTTCTCGTCAAGTTCTCATCCTTCGAGGTCATTGAGATCACTTCATATCACTTTGCAGACGGTAGGAGATCGTTTTGACCTTGGCTTTTCTGTCCGCAGACAGCTGATGTCAATGCCCTTTGCACAATGATACCATTAATTGCCCCCTGTACTCCTCCACTTGAAGAGGGGTACAAAACCAACACTGAATACAATGTTAAAATAAAAGTACAACACACTCTGACACTTGTATTCAGTGAACTCAGTTACCACGATGGGAAGGAAGGCGAAGGAACGGAAAGGTGCATAAGTCCGCAAAAACTGTATTGTTGAACAGTGTTGGCAGCTGCACTCGAAAACGATCGGACACTCTGCGCGGCCTCAAGTCTGCTGCAAGTCTGCGGTGGGGAAAAGGTTTGGGGGTGGTAGCATGAAAAACCATGGAAACAAACAAGGCAAATTAGACAGCGTGGTCAAAAGTTCAGGTAGCAGGTACACGGAAGTGATCAGCTTCCGCTTCCTAGGATCTTGCAAAGAGCTTCGTTGGGCAGAGCTTTGCAAGTCCTCTCTGCCCCCCTGCCTGATTGGAGTGGTCGAAGGAAACCCTTTGTCCAGGGGTGGACACACACAAGTCGCCGGCTTCGGCGCTTTTTCAAGACACCCCCTACCGTTGAACCAGTGGACGAAAACCTTTTTCCCAGGGGTGGACACACACACAGAGCCGTTTTCGGCGCGGTCAAAGTAGTAGTAAGGCCTGGGGCCTCCAGTAGCGTCCTAACTCCCAGGGGAACATTTGTACAAAAAGCGCCAAATTGTTGGCGCAACGAAGAACTAGTAGACACCTAAAAAGCCTTAGAAAGACAGAAAAAGCAACGAAACAAGAGCAGACTAAGAGGGCAAGAAAGAAAAGTAGGGTAGTTACGAGGCCCACTTAGTTAAACGAAAGTAGAAGGCGAGCGGGACATTCGTCTTAAACCGCCCGGGTAGCTAGCAATAGCTAGGAGAAACAGAAGGAAAGGCACCAACACACAAGTGTGTTGAGTGCGATTTCCTTCTGTTTCCCGAGTAGCGGGTGGGATAGCAACGGAGGCCTGGGGGTAGGGAGGGGGGGGGGGGG